AGCATTGTCCAACTCCGAATACTTGTGGCACCTTTAGGTCATAGTTATCTGTTAGTGATTATTAAGAGAAATATTGTAGAAAGATGAAATTACTTTTAGTAACAACAACAGAAAAACGAGATTTTCGAAACTTAAAAGCTTCATAGGGTTCCTTTATTACTGAATGACCAACTGAGGTTGACGTGACTGTCATTTATAAAATAACATTGACTACTCTACCTAGTGTCGTTAAAAGCTCAAAATGGATAGCTTCGAAGCTTATACACTCTCGATATTGCGATTCTATGGTTGATTATCAAAAGTATAGTGAATAATTATGATCATATTAGACTAATGACATTTAACACTGAAGTGATTAGGCTAACTATACGATATATATGATGTGTAGCACCCCGTAAAGTCTAGTGCAAGTCCTGAAGCGAAAAGGAATCGACTGACAAATTTTCTATAAGTCTTTGTTGAGATGAACTACTTTGAAACTGACGACCCTCAGAGACACATCAACCTGAAGGTTAATATACTTCTTTTTATCCTTGATGTTGGATCTTTGCATTTTCATCTAGTTTGCTAAATGAGTCACTGCGACCAAGAGACTTTAAATGTGGAACAAACAAACTTCGCAGTTGGTGATGTTGTATATGTCGGTCCTGGGACCCAGCGGATAGGTAAAATTGAATTTATCGGAGAGACGCAGTTTGCCAGTGGAGTGTGGATTGGTGTAAATTTATTTTCACCTTGTGGAAAAAATGATGGTTGTGTCGACGGTGTGACTTATTTCACTTGTAGTCCATTGCATGGAATATTTTCTAAGCGTGGTAATGTCCGACTTGCACCAAACCTCATACCTGAGGAATCCTGCTCAAAAGTAAGTCAGATTGTCAAAATTTCTAAATTAACTCAATCAGAGTCTTTGTGAACCTAGATGGGACTTTAAGGCTGAACCTATTGATCATGGTTTCAAATATTTTATAGCCATACGTCTTTCGATCCGTCGATAAACCGATATTAGTTCATTTCTGCATACTACTTATATGCTCACTACACATTTAAATGAGCTAAGGTCGAACTTCCACAGTATTCTTTCACTCGTATGGCTGTCAAGTTTTGAGGGGCCCTAGTTATCAGGAGGTTACTTATTTGCCATTTTCGTGGGGTTAAAGGTAACAAACATGGGAGCTGTGCAACAATCGATACTACGGTTTATATTGCTCTCCTAAATTAGTCTAGCATCTGTATCCAGTGATCACGTTGTCTGAGTGGTAGTAGACCAGTTCAACCAACAAATGGTCACATTTTAATTGAGCAAATGTACATTTCTTCTTAATCCTTATTATACAGCTTTTTTTGTCCAATTTCAAGTCATCCTAACGTTTGGTCTTCAAAAAAGTTAGGCTTGTCGTAAACTAAGGCTTAGCTTTTGTTGGACGGTAATCACTCAGTCACAGATCGGAACATGATTCTTATATTATCATTTTACAGTGACAGTTATGGGTGTGTTTAAAGCATGGACTTCAATCTTACTAGTTATGAAATGTCAATACAATCATGTTTAAATATGAGTAAACTCGAATGATTCGTAGTTAAAGTGTTTAAACTTGAACAACATGAAAAATATATAAAAGTTTGTCGAAAACCAGGTTCTGGCTTCCATACTAGGCTCTCGGTCAGTCAATCATAATCTATAAAATGCCTGGTGCAAATGTGCATAGCCTCGAGTTGCCGTCAAATCAGTATAGAGTGAAGGAAATTCGGAAATTTAGAGGTTTTCGAATTAGTAGTATCAGTAGTAAAAGAGTAGACATTTATTTTTATTTATTTATTTGAACACATAAATATTGGTACAGGGGGGCACCAAATATATATGCGCCACACAAAACAATGAGAATTTAAGAAGGGAAAAAAGTAAGGAACGAAGGGGATTATAAACTAAAAAAAGAACAATAATCGATGGAGACGAAAAGGTACACTCAGAAGAAATCCTACATTTAAGGAGGATACAGCCACTTTTTCTGAAGAAAGTAAAAGGTTACAGCAGGATCGCCACCGGCTTCTATTCTGAGCCATATCTGATAACATCTCTAGCCACTGTGTTACACCATCTCTCGGACCCCAGCCAGGGAGTCGTGAAGGACCAACAGAAGCTAGCCCTTTGCAGCTTTCTTTCATACCACGACACCATGTCATATACTGACCACCTCTCCGCTTTTTCCAACCAGTCCCAGGGTCGGCAAATAGTGCACGACGTGGAATTCTCTGGGACGACATTCGTAGAACATGTCCAAGCCACCGAAGTCGATGTTTCAAGATGGTGACACCAATTGCATTATCGTCTCTGTGCCCAAACACACGATGTCGAACCTCTGTATTACTAACATGGTGTTGCCACTGGATGTTAGCAATCCTTCGGAGACAACGACGATCGAACACAGAGAGTCGTCTAACATCTTCAACTCGGAGGCCAGGTTTCACAAGCATAAAGCAAAACTGCTCTCACCGACGCGTCGTAGATCCGACCTTTTACAGCCAGACTAACATCACAAAGGCGCCAAAGATGGCCCAGATTGGCATAAGCCGCTCTGGCTTTCACTATACGTGCATTGATCTCATCACTCACGCCACCACCAGCACTTATGCAGCTACCCAGATAGACGAAATTCTCGACTTCTTCTATCTGCTCACTATCCAGAGTGAGTACAGGATTAGAATCCTGCCAGTCTTGTGTGAGTACTTTGCACTTCGAAGGTGCAAAGCACATACCATACCTACGGACACTGATTGCCAACTGACTGAGTGCGCATTGCATGACTTGAACATTCTCGCACAGTGAGACAATATCGCCCGCATACTCAAGGTCGAGAAGTCTTTCTCCAGGCAACAGATCCACACCACCATTACTTACATCCATCCGAGTTGTTTCCAGAATGTCATCGATGGCAAAGTTGAAGAGGAATGGTGAGATTGGGCAACCCTGCCTAACCCCACTGCTCGAATGGAATAATAGAGAAAGGTGGTTGTATGCCCTCACAACTATCGACTCATTCCATGACGTTGATACACTCTCTAGTTCCCAGATCTTTGTAAACAACGTCGTCAGTCCCTTAGTCAGAAAGTCACCACCATCTTTAAAAAGAGCCGGAGGTAAGTCGTCTGGGCCCGGTGATTTGTAACGTTTCAAGAGTTGGAGTTCCTTGCGGACTTCCGCCTCATTTGGTGGATCAGTCGTCACCAGCCATGGAGGGCAGGACAGTCTGACCGATGTTGCCGGAGCAGTAGGCCAGTTGAACTGCCCTTTTTCCAAGACGTCGATGGATATTAGTGATTGGCATCCCGTCATCCTCGCAGATTGTTTCGCTCACATCAGACTTCTTGCTGCCAGTGGCTCGGATGAGTTGGAAGAGCTTCCGGTAATTACCAGATGCAGCTGCTGCTTCCAGCTCATTAGCACGCTCCGACCACCATGCTTCTCGGTCCTTACGCAAGCTTTGCCCGATTTCGTTACGTAACATCCTTCGTCTGTGGTCAAACTCACGGTCACCCCGAGTAGACCGACGGGTTTCAATGAGTTGTAAGGAACCAGAAGAAACCCAGTGCTTATAAGCGGGACGTTTCGCGAACCCACAACAGACTGTACCCGCCATTTTCATGGTGTCATGCAATTGCAACCAATGCTCATCTATACTTTTCGGTGGAATGGTAGCTAGCCTAGAAGCTAGCTCGGTTCGGTACTTACTAGCAACAGAATTTGCAACCAGCTTGCTAACATTAATCCTTTGATGGCGGTCACTTTGTTGTCCACTGAAAAGTAAGGTAAGATTGGCGCAGACCAGAGCATGATCAGATTCCAGATAGGTACTCCAAAAGGAGCGGCAGTCTTGTACACAACCGCGCCAGCGGTAGCTGATCGCGATGTGATCAATCTGCTTCCATGCTTGAGATGCAGAAGGGGGACGCCAGGTGGCACATCGGAGATGACTGTGCCGAAAGTTAGTGCTAGCCAGAAACAGGTTGTGGTCTGTGCATAGTTGTAATAGACGTTCCCCGTTATCTGTCCTGCGACCAACGAGTCCCCATCGGCCACCTAAACGACTCTCCTGTGCCCAGACGCCCGACCTGATCATTCAAGTCTCCGGCTAGTACTACAATATCTGTCGAACGCACTTTCTGGAGAAGAAGAGATAACTGGTAGTAGAACTCATCCTTGATTGCATCCGGGCTGCAATGTGTTGGGGCATAGGCGGAGATGACGAAAAGACATCGTTTCTCACACCTATTTCTTCTCACTTTGATGGAACTTTCTAATCTAACAGCACATAACCGACTGTTAATGGGGATCCAGTCGATTAGTGCTGCCTCAGCTCTAGCGCTTAGTGCGACACCAACACCAGCAAAACCAGACGAAGATGCCACAGTGTCCCCGGATAAACGCACGTAAAACATGCTTTTTGAAGTGACAGATGGAGAGCGAATTTGTTTTACTTCACCAGAGTCTTGAATACGGGTCTCGGATAGACAACAAACGTCGATATTAAGACTTTCCAAAGATATAGCCAGCCCTATCTGTTGTCCGACCTGCATAAGTGTGCGAACGTTAAAGGCAGCCAGTTTGAATGGTGCGCGTGGTTTCAGAAAGACTGCTTCAGTACTCTTATTCGATGGTAACATACAATTTTCAACCAGGCAGTGACTCGAGAATGTTTAGATAGAGCCGAATGTCCACCATAGGCGAGCTGCTGTATAAGTCGAAAAATAAGGATAGACAGAGTGGGAATGAAAGAGAGTGAATCAATGACGTGGTAAATAATAATAATAATAATAATAATAATAATGTTAATTGTTTGACGATAAATCGCAGCGTGAACAGAGTTTTCAGAGAAGATCATCATTTTCATTATATTTGTGTGTGGGCTGTGATACTGCCCGGGTGCCCAGACCGAAGCAGGTGGTTTTCTTAAGGGGCCACACCCCGAGCCTTCGATCTAAAGGTCTAACCCACAAAGCAGTGGAGCATCGTGAGGAGATGCAGTCCCATGGTAGCCGGTGACCAACGATTGGTTCATACGCCATTTGTTCCTTCAGGATACTGGAGCCCATGTGCACCATTGATTTGAGATCCGGTTATAGCGCCGGACGTTCGCTTTTCGTCCTCTCATTTTCGTAAACAACAGTAATGCCACGAGAAGGCAGTGAGTAGGACTTCCCTGGCAGAGGCTATATACGCGTGACCATGTGAAGGCATTTCGAGAGGGAGAGCGGACTCTCCCCACTCTCGGCCATACCAGGGCATTGTGTTGACGTTACTCAGCTTAATTAGGTGTGGTCCTTGAACTTATAGCGAGGCAACTGATCTCTAAGCAGCTGAAGTTCTTGAGTATAGAAGCATTATAAAATAGTAGGAAAAATATGGGACGTCTGTTTTGTTGGTTGTATTGTTAAATTGTGGTCTTGAGGTCGCACAAATTAGTAGTGGTATAAAGAATCTAGGGTTGCCTGATGACGGCGTGTAATTTTCTGATGAAAAACACAAGAACACCGTGTTGCTCTACTTGAATACCACAGCTGAGCGTCATACAAGTGATTCACTAAAGCGTTACAGCTAGACTCAAAAAGGTATTTTTTAATCATGATAGTAATTTATATTTCGAAAACTAGTATAACTATCTAAATCGCTATTTAGATGTTAGATTTATTCATATGAATAATTAGTGGTTTAAATTCCCTTCAATTTATTTTAGAGGATATTACAATGACATAATTGCAATCCCATCTTAAGGCGACGTAACCTTCTGGTTATGGTACATTCTCCAGTCCCGTATATACAGATATGACTAAACCTGTAAGTTAAAGGTTTGTACAGTTCCCCGTAATATGTAGTCATCTGAAGCTACCAAACTTAAGATATGGATAAATCTGTCTTGTAGTGTTTTTGTATCCTGGATTTGTCCAAATATTTTGTTACATTAAACATATGAGCTATTACTGAGTCGTTGAGTTTATATATTTTTTGCTCCTAACATTTTAGGTTGGTTCAACAATTCCTGATAATGATAAAGTGCCAGATATTCAATCAAAACAAAACAGCGTTTTAGATGTCAATAGTGTCTGTTCATCCAAGGTGTCTCTAGTGAACTCTCCTGCTTGTGCATCTGGGCGAAATACTTTGCAAATTGGTGATCATGTCCAGGTTTCTGGAGGTCGAATCGGTATCCTCAGATATCTTGGGCCTACAGAGTTTGCTGTTGGTGAATGGGCTGGTGTTGAGTTGGATAGCCCTATTGGGAAAAACGATGGCTCAGTTGCTGGCGTACGGTACGCTATTTTGTTCTTTTTGTGATAATTCTGTAAAATTAGATATTAGTCAAACCGTCAAACATTATATTTTATTATAAATGGATATAGTATAAGAAGTTGATATGAATGTAATGGTTTATATATGCACCAAGGGACTTTGGTATTGTTTCAGAGAATATAGTGATTTATATCGAAACTGCCTGATATTTCCTCAGATTGCTTGGTAAAAATGGTATCTGATGAAGGAACTTGAAAACTAATTTTGAGCATACGTATACTTGTCTGACACCAGTAGAAATATGCATCCAGTGCTCTATGCAATGTCAAAGTCAACTGATATTTTGTCGATGGAATACTGTTCTTGTGTTCCGCGTAGAAGACAAAATTGATTATCTGATAAACTCATCTCTAGTTTAAGGTCATTTGCATCATTCGAAAGGTAGGTATTGGTAGTTCTAAAATACTAAAGATGGTCTTTTTTTATCATAATTCTACTGTATCAATTAACTGACTTATTTGTCAAATTCAGGTTTGTTTACTGGACTTTAAGTCACATATATTGTTGTTGGTGATACTACTCGGTTCCCTGAACGGAACTAGATGGGACGAAAATGTTATAGTTTTCTAGCCGCCACTCCATTGGTGAATGAGACTTTTTATTTGGGACGTAGCAAGAGTAGTGGGGCCTCCAATAAACATTCTGAAACATTATGCTAAGAGACCGTCGTTGTGATCATGTCTTTCTAGGGTGTTAAAATAAACTGATGTCAAAGAGAATTTCTGTGCCTATAGGGCCAAAGTAACCATTAGTTCTTGACTGATCACTGTGGAGGCAAGTTTTTGCTTAATATGTCCATAACTAAGTTAGGGCTTCACATGATAAGCAGCCTTAACTTAATCTATCCAGTGGGTTGGTGCTTTAGGTAAGCTTTGTCACTCTGTATGATCCACTAATATTTATTTAATTTGATCCTGTTTTCTATTCAGTTAAGATTTTAAGTGAGTATGTGCTTGTCTTGTATCACTAAAGCTAATTACAGCCCGGTCATCTTGTTTTTTATGTATGTACTGAAAGTAATTTTTCGGGTCATATGGACTTTGTATCTATCAGTATCAAAGACAACATTGTTATTCATTTTAATTGTATTAATATGTAATAAATCTGGTAGTTTTGTAAAGTCCTATACTTTTAAAATTTTTTCTACATAGATACTTTACTTGTAAACCAAATCATGGCTTGTTTGCAGCCGCGAATAAAGTTGTACCTGCCGGTAGTAGGGATGAATTTTGCACATCTGGTTTTGATACATCAAAAAACAGTCAAACTCGGCAAGTTTATATGGTGTTATTTTATGGTGGTACACTGTTTATATATTAAGCTTGGATTCTATAATAACTGATTACCTGAGCTGAATTCTCCAGCTTGTGTTAGTATATCGGTCCTTCAACTGTTAATTGATGGGTAACAGAACATACTTTTTAAAACATTCACTTCATGTTAATGATTTCTAACGTATAATTAAGGATACAGGATGAGATGTGCCGTATATTTTTGACATGTTACGTGATCAGAAATGCAATTCGATGTACTCACTAGTAGCCAAGTTTTAAAAATGTATTTGCACACAAATTTAGAGTTGTCAGTAAGGCAAATGTGTTCGAAAATAATTTAAATCCTAAACTTGAATTAGTTGGAGATCCATTGGAAACTAGGGGGCATTGGACATTCCTTTCTTTTTAATCGAAACCGTATCATCATGGATCGTGGCCATATACTAGTTATCATGTAAACCCTCCAAATTGAACAATGTCCATAAGCCCTCCATCCTAACAATGATCGTTTACTCACTGGCGACTTTGAGAGAAACTTCTAAATTTCTTGTCAGAACCCATATTGTGAAGAGTGAGAAAGGTATTACCAAGGTTATGGACGAAAGTTGCGCATCATCTTATACTACTTACAGTTAGAATTGTAAGCCTCTAGCTGACCATTCATTGATCTAACGATCGATTGTTCACTGCGAGACCTAAGTTTTCTATTTTTGACTCCTAGTTGGGTCGTGGATTCGCATAACTGAGGATTTCAATACTAGAATGAAACATCTGTCCAGTTCATCCAGTTTTTCAATATTGTTTAACCGAAGTCAGCCCACGATGTAGAACTCCAAATTATGACCTATCATATCAGGGTCATCACTTTCTGATATGGAAACCACCAATTGAGTACTGTTGAGGTTATTTGTATAATTAAACACAGATATTAGTAGACATAAATGCCATAATAAATATCTGTCACAAAATAAGAAAATAAGATTGTGAAACAATAGAGAAAGGAAGGCAAGTGTAATGAAAAACAATAAATAAGTAAAAAAATAAGTGGGTAAGTGTAGTATATGGTGGGAGAAACCTTTCAGTTGTAAAAAGCAAAGTCACAAGGAATCCTTCCAGTTAAGGAAGTTCTCACTTTTGAAATATACTAAAAGAAAATTACAGCAGGATCCACATTGGCTTATATTCTAAGTCATATTTGATAACATCCCATGCGACTGAGTCGCAACATCTCTCGTATCTCAACCCGAGAATCATGAAGGACCGACAGAAGCCAGCCCTGTGCAATTTTCCTTTGTGTCCCGGGTTCATGTTATAAACGAACTGTCTCCACTTTTCCTAACCAGTCCCAGCGTCAGCAAATAAAGCGTAACGTGGAAGTCTGTAGCATGACATTCGTAGCACAACCAAGCTATCGAGGTTGATGTTTCGAGCTGGTGACACCAGTTTAATTGTCGTCATTGTGTCTAAGCACATGTTGCTACACCTCCGTATTATTAACATGATGTTGGCACTGAATGTCCGTAATATTTCTGAAAAAACAATGGTAGAACACAGAGTTGCTTGACATCTTCAACTTGGAGATGTCAGGTTTCGCAAGCATGGAGCAAAACTGCTCTCACCGAGGCGTTGTAAACCCAGCCTTCTACAACCAGACTAACACAACGAAAGTGCTAGAGATGTTTCAGATTGATACAAACTGCTCTAACTTTTACTTTACGTAAATTGATCCCACCATTCACGCCACCACCCAGAACCTGCACAGCTACCCAGATACACAGACCTCTCGACTACTTCTAACTGTTCATTATCAGGAGTAAGCGCAGGCACAGGGTCCTGCTAGTCTTGTAAAAGTTCTTGGCACTTAGAAGGTGCAGAGCGCATGCCGTACGCACAGACACTGATTAGGTGAAAGTTTTATGGCCACCTCCTTTAAAAAGAACCAGGTGTAAGTCATCTAGGTTTGGTGATCTATACACTTCAGGAGTTGGATATACTTGCGGATTCCCGCTTCGTTTGGTGGGTCAGTCTTCATCAACTGTGGAGGACAGGACAGTCTCATTGATATTTCCGAGCCAGTAGACCAGCTGAACTGTTCCTCGAAGAATCCTGCGTATCATTTAGGACGTTGTTGGATGTTATTGATCGCTGTCCTATCGGCATCACAGATTGCTTCTCTCACACCAGACTTCTTGCTATCAGTGTCTCGTATGAGTTGGAAGAGCTCTTGGTGATTCCCAGATGAAGCCGTTGCTCTTAACCCTTTATCGTGCTCCGATCACCAAGCTTCTCGGTTTTTACGCAAACTTTACGCAGTTTTTTACTCAAGAACGTCTGCCTGTCGTTAAACTCGCTGTTAGCTGGAGTAGACTGACGTGCTTCAATGAGTTATAAGGAGCTTGTAAAAGCTCTGTGCTTACAAGAGGGAAGTTTAGCTAAGCCACTAGCGAATCTACTTGCCATTTTCATAGCGTCAGGCAAATACAGACTGCTCATCCATAATTTTCGGTGGGATGTGTTATATGTTCTCTTTTTGCGATCGAACTATTATTGCTTAGCATTCTTGGACAATACTTCCCCAAGTCAGAACAATGTTGAACAGGAACGCAATTACATTCCAAATAACAAGGTTGAATGTAATCAAGAATCGCAATACGAAAAACATTAATATATTAATGATTTTTACGTAAGAAGATTCTAGAGTCTTCCTTAAGCATCCGCTAGCTCCGATTCGTTAAGAAATAGCCAATCAATGTGCCTTAACACAATCTTGCACGGAACGTGCTTTAATCTAATCTATATCCCGCTGATAGGAAGTTAGCTAACCTTAAACCTAGTTTGGTTTAATATTTGGTTTTAATGTAATCTGTAACCAATCTGGTTGCATCAATCGGTGTGGGATGACAAATTTGTTAACCACTGCGATGTGAGGTAAGATTAGCGCAAACGAGGGCATAATCAGAGCCCAGATAAGTACAACAAATGGAGTGGCAGTCTTGTGGTCTATGCAAAGCTGCGGAAGGCGTTCACTGTTATTCGACCTGTGGCTGAGTCCCTGTTAGCTCCCTAAATGACACTTCTCTGTACCTAGACTCTCGATTAGAGCATTTGTATTTCCGGCTAGCATTACAATGTCTTTCCAGCTTTATCTTTTTCGGGAGTATCATCTAACTGATGGTAGAACTGATCTCTGATTACATCTGGGCTGGAATCTGTCTGGGCTTAGGCGAAAATAACGAATGGGCGTTGTTCTCCTCACCGATTTCTGATCACTTTGATGAAGCTTTCTGATTTAACGGCACATAATCAACAAGCCAGGGGAATCCAATGGATTAGTAATGCCTCTGCTTTGGGACCTAGTGCGACACTAACACCAACCAAACCGAACAGAAAATTCCGAGATTGAGAGTGGACTCTTTTCACCCTTGGCGATGTCAGAGCATATGGCGTAAAGTACTAGATAGAAATCGCTACTCGGTTGATGGGGTTATAAACCATAAACGATCGAAGTTGTTGAAACATGCAAAGTGCATTACTAGCCATCGTCCATCCTTACACCTTAATGCTCACATAAGAGTAAGTTGGAAGATATGGCATCAATTCACCAGGTCAGTGATTGTCGGCATGAGCCATGTTGGCACCCTTGAGATAATAATTTATTGTTTTTTATAATTCCTCACGTTCATTACTTTTATTTTCTCCTTCTCTTCAAATTATCATTGTTTTGTGTGGCGCATATATATTTGGTGCCCCCCTGTACCAATATTTATGTGTTCAAATAAATAAATAAATAAAAATACTTCATCTCCCCTCAAACATTAAGTTAAGCAACGTACCTTTCATCTTTCGATTTTTTAAAATTCTTGCGAATTATATCAGTCATGTGTATCTCTACTACGCTTTTCATCTCAGTCTCCTCTCTCTTCCTCTCCAGGTTTAGCTAAAAAAAAGTATCATTGAACATAGAATGTGGTAATGAATTTTGCTATCAAACGTGAAACTTACATATTAAATTTCCGCAATAGGTGTTTTGTGACGTTCACTTAAATCCTAGTGTTCATATCTCCCCTTGTCCACATATATAGTTAACTGTATTTATTAATCGTAATTTCGCTTTCAAAGACAATAAACTTCTGTCTTCATATCACTTTCCGGTAATTGGTTTCTTTAGGGATTTTAAAATAGTTATTAAACCCTTCAAGGTGAGTCATATATACATCAATGCTATAGTTATTGTGGATGTGCCTTTTAAGGGTCCTTCAGAAATATACCTCTGATGATGTGGTTTGGCACTACTTTCCTTGATTAAATTAACTTTTCATTTACTCTTCATTTAGTATTTTATGTCACTTAGTTGATAAAAAGCTTACTTACTTACTTACGCCTGTTACTCCTCGTGAAGGAGCATAGGCCGCTCACCAGCATTCTCCATCCAACCCTGTCCTGGGCAATCCTCTCCAGTTCTTTCCAGTTCTTATTCATCTTTTTCATATCTGCTTCTATTTCCCGACGTAATGTGTTCTTTGGCCTTCCTCTTTTCCGCTTCCCTTCAGGATTCCAAGTTAGCGCTTGTCTCGTAATGCAGTTTGATGATTTCCTCAATGTATGTCCTATCCATTTCCATCGTCTTTTCCTAATTTCCTCTTCAGCTGGAAGCTGGTTGGTTCTCTCCCACAAAAGGCTGTTGCTGATGGTATCCGGCCAATGGATGTTGAGTATCATGCGTAGACAGCTATTAATAAATACCTGTACCTTCTTGATGGTGGTTGTTGTAGTTCTCCAAGTTTCAGCTGCGTACAGTAGAACTGCCTTGACGTTGGTATTGAAGATTCTGACTTTGATATTGGTTGAAAGTTGTTTTGAGTTCCATATGTTCTTCAGTTGAAGGAATGCCGCTCTAGCTTTGCCAATCCTCGCCTTGACGTCTGCATCTGAACCTCCTTGTTTATCGACGATGCTTCCCAGGTATGTGAAGGATTCCACGTCTTCCAGAGTTTCGCCATCAAGAGTGATTGGATTGCTGTTCTCCGTGTTGTGTTTGAGGACCTTGGTTTTCCCTTTGTGTATGTTGAGGCCTACTGATGCAGAGACTGCTGCTATGCTGGCTGTCTTTATCCGCATTTGTTCGTGTGTATGTGATAGGAGGGCTAGGTCATCTGCGAAGTCCAAGTCGTCTAATTGGTTCTGAGCTGTCCATCGTATGCCGTAGTTTCTCTCAGATGTCGAGGTCTTCATAATCCAATCGACCACCAGAAGAAACAGGAAGGGAGAGAGTAGACAGCCTTGTCTTACTCCGGTCCTTACTTGGAATGCCTCTGTCAACTGTCCTCCATGCACTACTTTGCACTGTAGTCCGTCGTATGAGTTCCGGATAATGTTGACAATCTTCTCAGGAACTCCGTAGTGTCGAAGAAGTTTCCATAACGTCCTCCTATCTACACTGTCAAATGCCTTCTCATAATCAATGAAGTTGATGTAGAGTGACGAGTTCCACTCAATTGATTGTTCGACGATGATCCGTAGTGTCGCAATATGGTCTGTGCACGACCGGTCCTTACGGAATCCAGCTTGTTGATCTCGAAGTTGAGCGTCAACTGCGTCTTTCATCCTGTTCAGTAACACTCTGTTGAAGACTTTACCTGGTATTGACAGTAGTGTAATGCCTCTGTAGTTTTCACACTTGCTCAGATCTCCTTTCTTTGGAATCTTGATGAGGTGTACTTCTTTCCAACCCATCGGCACTTGTTCCTCCTCCCAAATCTTCTTGAATAGAAGATGAAGCATGCTTGTAGTTACTTCGATGTCTGACTTCAACGCTTCAGCTGGTATATTGTCAGGTCCTGCTGCTTTCCCGCTCTTGATTTGTCTGACTGCCATTTCTTCTGTCGTTGGTGGATTGACATTTATAGGAAGATCTGTGTGTGCTGCTTCGATGTCCGGTGGATTCATTGGAGCCGGCCTATTCAGGAGTTCCTCGAAGTACTCTGCCCATCTGTTGCGCTGTTGTTGAATCTCAGTGATTGGTCTTCCTTCATTGTCTTTGACTGGTCTCTCTGGTTTACTGTATTTCCCTGCAAGCTTCTTCGTCGTATCGTAAAGCTGTCTCATATTTCCTTCTCTTGCAGCTTTTTCCGCCGTCGTTGCTAGTTCTTCCACGTATTTTTGCTTATCAGCTCTAATGCTCTTCTTCACTTTCTTGTTTGCTTCTATGTACTCTGCTTGTGCTTGGACTTTCTCTGCTCTTGTTCGACTGTTGTTAATTGCTGTCTTCTTGTTCTTTCTTTCTTTGATCCTGTCCAATGTTTCTGTAGAGATCCATTCCTTGTGATGACGCTTCTTGGGGCCCAGAACCTCTTGACACGTTGAAGTTATTGTTTCTTTGATACCTTTCCAGCTATCCTCCATAGTAGTTTTTTCTTCCTTCAGTAGATCCTGTAAGGCTTGGAACCTGTTGTTGAGAACTACCTTGAATTAATTGAGTTTGTCAGTATCTCGAAGGAAGGCTGTATCGAACCTTTGTGGTGCTGTTTGTCCAGTTGTCCAGTTCTTCTTTAGCTTCAGTTTCAATTTGGCCACAACTAGGTGATGATCTGAAGCTATGTCCGCTCCTCTCCTGGTTTTCACATCTTCCATTGTCCTTCGGAACTTTTTATTGATGCAAATGTGATCTATCTGGTTCTCTGTGGTGTGGTCCGGTGAGATCCACGTAGCTTTGTGTATACGTTTGTGTGGAAATGTTGTACCGCCTATGACCAATTTATTGAATGCACACAGATTTGCAAATTTTTCCCCGTTTTCGTTTCTCTCTCCCAGTCCATGTAGTCCCATGATGTCTTCATATCCGGTGTTGTCCATTCCGACTTTGGCGTTTAGATCTCCCATCAGAATGGTGAGGTCCTTTCTTGGGCACTTCTCTATGATTGATTGCAGCCTCTCATAGAATTGATCCTCAACGTCGTCGTTGCTATCATTGGTGGGTGCATAACATTGGATAATGTTCATTGTGATCCCCTCCTTCTTTGTTTTGAATGATGCTTTGATGATTCTGGATCCGTGAGATTCCCATCCTACAAGTGCATTTCGTGCTACTTTGGATAGCATTAGAGCAACTCCCTGAGTGTGTGGAGCATTTTCCTCTTCGTGACCGGAGTATAGCAGCATCTCTCCCGTATTTAGCCTTTGTTGTCCAGCTTGGGTCCAATGGGTTTCACTGATTCCCAGTACTGCCAAGTTGTATCTTCTCATTTCCGTTGCTATTTGACTGGTCTTCCCGGTCTCCCACATTGTCCGGACGTTCCATGTACCTATAAAAATTGTTGCTCTGGTTGTTAGGAGGGGCATCGGCCTCGTGGCTTCCGAAGGAACTCGGCTTTCACCATGAAGCGTCATATTACCTCTAACTCCCAGGGCAGAGTTTAAATGGTTTGAGTTATTTTTTCTGGTTAGCGTTTTTTTAGCGAGTTAGGTTTCTACGGGATGGGGACGCTAACCCCATGCCCAACCCTCCTCCTTTACCCGGGCTTGGGACCGGCAGTAACTCTGGAAGAGCTACAGGCGGAGTTTGATAAAAAGCTATTTACGGCTAATCATTTATTTATATCTCCATAAACTTAACCCTCTTTTAGAATTGATTCGTTGTAGTACAGGCATGTTTAATATAATTTTGGATATGGAGCTTTTAGTGGCCCGGGTACCTGGCTCCAGGTAGATCGTTTGCTGTTTGCTATTAAAATATACTGTTCTCGTATATAATCATCGACTTAAATCGTGTTAGTGAATAACGGAACTAAATAATTCAAATACGAGAATGAAGTTTTGAAGATGTATATTTTGTACAGTCGTTGGTCAGATAGCCAAGCAAAATAAAATGACGCACAATGGAGAAGGCGAGTGAACCAACTCAATTTAGCCAAGCGTGAATTGATATTTCTAGTCGAACAAAAATAAGTTACAGACATGTGATGAGTAAGATAGGAAATGCTCACACATACGCTCACATAAAAAGTCAATGTTGATAAGCGAATAAGTGACAAAGTAAAAGTGTGGCTTGAGAAGAATGAATATATTGGTCTGTTCAGAGTCTAGAATAACCTATGTGGGCTTGACATAGTACCAGCCCCCCTACGAGTTCATTTAATATAATTATCTATAAAACAGTAGTTTCCGTTGTTTTTAATCAATTTTATGTAGAACACCTTGAACGCTGTTTAATACATCTCCCTATAAAAGGGAGAATATCACTATATATGATGGGTTCTCGTGTCACTTTTCACCGTTTAATGAGAATAATGTTTCGCTAGCATAACTGTTGAAACGATTTGTTTTGTAAAATAAATAACGTTTTGCATGTTTTCAAGCATAATAATAAGTATTTTTTCTAGTTGAATGCAGTGATTAATATGTCCTTATGAAACATTAACTAACAATCATTTCACAGTAGAATGTATTTCTTCTAAAATATTATTATACTTGACTGACATATTTATTTGCAACACTTCATGTTTAATGGACAGTTTTATTTTTTAGAATCTAGTTTTTCATTGCTTGTTTCTTTTAGCAGTGTAAATCTTTTATTGTAATTAATTGCGACTTTGTTATTTTTATTTAAACGTTTGAAGCTAAAAACAGTGTACTTAATCACCAAAAATTCATGAGTGTTGTCACAAATAACTTACATCAATTTTGATGTTTCAATGGTAATATGTTAGTTCTATAAACCTTGATGTCATCGACGAAATCCTACATTTTTTAGAATAGTTTACATCGTAGAATAGCTATAGGCAAGCAACTGTTAAAAGTAATGTAGCATTAGATGTGTATCTTATTTCTATATGAGGTTCATCACTATGCACATTCACGACGTCTTAGCGTTCGAACTCAGCACTTCCAGTGTGATGTGTCCTACTTATGTAGACACAAGTAGTATATGATGTTATTCGTGAACAGAATGTCTGGCAGTAGAGAGACGAGAAGATCGAACAGTAAAGAATGAAGACAGACTGCAATTTGTACAAAAATGCAAGAACAATGAAGTCTGAGTCACTTTGAGACAATTGATGGACATTTTGCAAATTGAGCATTTAATATATGGTTGTTAGATTTTATTAACAAGTACTGTAATTTGTTGTCAAATACATTCGATTGTCTCCATTGGTGTTCTTGTTCACTACACCAGGCCTTGGCGTAAGAGCTTTGCATTTGAAACTAATAGTCCGTATTTTAAACGCTAGTTAACTCAATATTTTGCACGATCATCAGTCATTGTCGTTGTTGATGTGTCTCGCAATCAATGTAGTTGAACTTCACTGGGTTCCAGTTTTACTATAAAGTCCTTATTACGATCCATCGTGGAGTTATGGATACACATTATTGAGGGGTTATATTCTAAAAGAAATTAGTCATACAGCGTCTCTTAGTTTCTAGTAGTTGTGTAAATGAGATCAGTTCGCAGTGTAAATCAAGGCTACCACGCTAAAAAGTCTTATGTTTTCTGAGACTTAACAATTATATTTTAGTGAGCGAAAATCTGTACAAGTGATGGCGATTCGTTTTAAATTTGTGATGTGCCTCTTGAGAGTAGCGGGAATGACTCGTCATTCTCGAAACCAATTTTCATAAAATCCGATGAATTTTTGTATTAGTCTCAAATGTTTTCAGAAGTTTAATTAAAATGGTTTATCTTTGTTTAAATTTAGTTCTTATTTAATTGGTTGCAAAAAATCATTCTTTCGTATTTTGTTTTTTACAGCCGGAGTCAAGAATCATTACTATCCTATTCATCCAATCTGAGTTCAGTATCTCGGTCTTATCGTCTAAATCAAGTTAATAATGGATTACAGGTTGGTCTCTCTCTCTCTCTCTTGTATGCGCTTTTGACTAAAAAATCATCAAATTAAAATATGACAAGTCGCTAGTTTATAAAGTCACCAACACTTAGTCTGAATTATCTAGAGAAGCGTAAACTTTCCGTGAGGGGTATGTTCCTGTGCAATAATAAAAATAGGTTTAATCAGATTTTAAATTAAAAAGTAGGAACTCAGATGTAGATTTACTTACCCTCTAAAAACATGTCCAAAAAGCCAAATTAAACTCATTTATATACTGATTTTACACACATTTGATGGTTATTAATAAGCAGGAAAAATACTCACTTACCGTAACAAAATATACGAAGTTTACACTAGATAAATACAAAAAGTATAGTGGTCAGACTAGACGAAAGTTCACACCTGTTGTACTGTTTAAATGCATACTGAGTTTATGCAGAAAAATATTGACTTGAAATAATAATACCTTTTCATCCCGTCATATTACATCGTAAAGCCTAATTACATAGTCTAGTATAACTAAAACTAACAGTGGATCGCTTTTTGTTGTGATTTCATACCTTGAAATGCTCATCCAAAGCATTCTAGTTTTTCAACTGTCAGTAAGGCATTTTAAGGAAGATGTTCATGTCGGCTTGTACATTAACCATGCTGACTGGTTACAAAGAATATGTTATACCGAAGTGTGTTCTGTTTCATTATTCTACAATGAAACAGAGTTTTCGTATAAAAATCTCTACCCTAATGTTAATATTGTAATTTTCTTTTAATCCGTTGGTTTCCCTATTGATTTCTAATGTAAATGATCTTAACGTAGGCTAATTCACTGTTTTACCAAACTTTGTCGTCAATAATAATATAAAGGAATATGAATTAAGGGACCAACTGATGGAGATAAATAATTTAGATAACAAAAATTTCGTCACTAAAACCATGATGCGCACTGCTGAAAAGTCCCGTACTAAGACGAAACAGCCATCCAGTGCTTCCAGGCTTTCAATAGTGGTCTAATACTGATCGGTTCATGATTTCGGTGAAACTCAACAATCTTCACGGCCTTAAAATAATAAATTTAATTGTTTTCATGTATTCATAACTATTCGTCCGTGAAAAACTTTGATATCTGAATGAATTACGTTCAGGCTAATTGTATAGATACTCGAATTGATTTGAAATAAAATAGCTTTTATAATATTTATTTTGTTGTGCTAACACAAAACCAATAAACATTTTGTCTTAATATAATATTCAGAATGACAAAGAAAGTTTTATCATCAGGCTTATTGTATTTAATCAAAACAATAAACCACCATAAAAAACTGCCCCCAAATGCCCTGGTACCGCCGATAGTGGGGAGAGTCCGCTCTCCCTCTCGAAATGCTTTCACATGGTCACGCGTATATAGCCTCTGCCAGGGAAGTCCTGCTCACTGCCTTCTCGTGGCATTACTGTTGTTTACGAAAATGAGAGGGCGAAAAGTGAATGTCCGGCGCTTTAACCGGATCCCAAGCCAATGGTGCACATGGGCTCCAGTATCCTATGGGAACGAATGGCGTATGAACCAATCGTTGGTCACCGGCTACCATGGGACTGCATCTCCTTACGATGCTCCACTGCCTTGTGGGTCAGACGTTCAGGTCAAAGGCTCGGAGTGTGGCCCCCTAAGAAAACCACCTGCTTCGGTTTGGGCACCCGGGCAGTATCACACAAATCAATTGAGATTGGTGTGGCGCATATTTATTTGGTGCCTCCTTCTACCAATACCTATGTGTTAAAATAAAATAAAATAAAGACATTAAAAAAACTGATTTGAGGTGGAAATATCTTTTATATACTTACTTCTCTCTGTAACACTGTCAAATTCTTTCATTCCACTGTTTATTTAGACAATTGAAACGAAAAATTTTATCTTCTGTTATTGATTTAATCGTTTACTCTGGACCACCATAGGAAACCTGGAAGCACTGGACGGCCGATTCGTCCCGTTGTGGGATTCATCAGCAGTGCGCATCCATGATCCCGCCTCGCGAGATTCGAACCATGGTGGTCTAGCTTCAATTGACTCATGATCTCAACTATTAAAATTACTATAATATCCACAAAACCCCTTTTGATAATAATAATAATATATTTTGTTTAATTACAATGTCAAGAGTCGTAATGGTGTAGCTGGTAACCGAAGACCTATATCATCAATGAACACTCCAAATCGTCGAGAATCTACATCTAATTTACAAACATTACAGGTTAGTTATTTAACTATAAGTGTTCTTTTTTCAGATTTCGTGGAAATGTTTTGTTTGGTATATAAATAGTAGTATGCACTGTCTACTATACAGAACAATTATTTAACAGTATCACGACCTACAATTTTCCAACCATCATTATTTCCATTTTAATTTCTTCATCAAAGTAATATATTTAGTCCAGACATAGTAAGTGTGACTCATCACTTAATAGTACACCGATATGTGTTCATACTATAAGCTATCTTCCTATGGTTTTTATAATCTATCTTGATAGAAGTAATTTCTCAAATTTCACAAGTCTGATCTTATTTATTAGAAAGTTTTTGGAACTTGGTAACTGCTATTATTATTGCTCAACGGAAGCACTTATTAAATCAGGTATATATATATATATATATATAACTGAGGAGTAGTATGTCATTTTTTATGTATGTTATACGTGAGAAGAAATCAATTATTGAAATGTATCATTGATTCTAATATGAGTTGCTTAAGGAAAGGGGATGGTGAATAGTAGTTCACTTAGTCAAGAAAAGCTAACTGATTCATGATCCATTGATTGTCGGTCTAAATGGTGTTCTGTCTTTTAGGGCTAAGTTTCATTCTCTTTGGTTAGTTTTCTGTTTCTACGATGTGGATAAAAGTTTATAATGTAATTAAAACTGATTTATTACTATTTCAACTTATCTATAATTTAATACGTTTACCAGTATCCTAACGCCAACGTTAACATTAATGTTATTAATACAAAATATATTTAATCACTCCAGTATTCTATTTTTAACCACTCATGGATAGAAAGTCTGTATAGATCATAATTATCGGTTTGTGACCAATTCATCCTATCCTCATAATAGGCTCACTTAAATGTATTTCCATGCAATTCTTCCGTTTCATTAATTTCACTGGGCCAAAAATAAAGATTGTAGCAACACCCCGTTGAGGCTGTCAGTTTTCAAAAGATTTAGGCTATATATATATATATATATATATATATATATATATATATATATATATATATATATATATATGCAAAAAGAAATCCACTTTAAACTTCTTTTTTTAGTTCTTACCTCATCTGTCAGTAGTCAATCTAATCAAGATTACATAAGTTGTAAAATTAATATTCCATTTCTAGGAGGTTTTTTCCCCATCTGCTTTCCAGCTTCCTCTCTTTCAGAATACTTACATGCCTATCTTGGAAAATGGTCAACTATATGAGTGATTCTTAAAATTCTCCTTAGTTTTTGACCTTTGACCAATCTATTATTATTTCATCTTCAATGATGGATTAGTAGCTAAGGCTTCCGGCTGTCAAACATTAGATCTCAGGTTTAAGTCTCCCCCCATATACTTCGGTTTAGGCAGCTAGGTATTATTTCTCTCCCCCATAAAATGTAATTCAAAGCCAATTACACAAATCTGTACTTGATAAATCGCGTTATCAACACAATAAAAACCATACAAATCCCTTATTATTTAATAATCAATCAATACCAATTGTTGAAGAGAATGTGAAACAATCTGTAACTTAATATCAGTCTGTCACAATTGTCGATTTTTTCTTACTCTTTCATGAAAAGTTTTGTACTTGCCAGCATAGCATCTATTATTCGGAATACAAAAGCCCTATTATTATTATTATTATTATTATTATTATTATTATTATTATTATTATTATTATTATTATTATTATTATCACTATCGTTATTACGTATGTGCTTTTTCAAGTATTTTTTGTGATGGTTTATTTTCTTGTCACTATGCTGGTTTTCACATGAATTTAAAGAAAAAATATCTAAATCAAATGGTGATGGGTAGTTGTTTTCATTATGCAAAATAGAAGGTTGTTTCAAGTAGTATATTAATAATAATCAATAAATGATTGAATATGTTGCTTTCTTCACATGTTAAACACGTGATACCTTGAACTTTATGGTAATTCATTGTTAAGAATTCAAGCCTTATTTCATGCTCTAGGAAAAAAATAAACTCCAATGAATGGTATGATTGATTTAGGTAATAGAAATCATTAAACACTTTAACAATGATTATCGTATTTAAACTTGTAAAAGAAAGGATGACCATTGACGCTTCACCGAGTAAATTATTTGACATGTACATGTAAAGAGAGAAATCTTACTGAAGCTGGCTTATGTATAAATGATTTTCTAAAAAACCAAAGCGTATCAATTAAATCTTAAACAATTAGTGATAGATTTTCATTTCTTTTTCATTTTGTTACTAAATATCTTGATTTTAACATAAAATTTACCTTGAATCGTGACACCGTCTTCGCTTATAAAATACGTTCAATAGACACAACTAGGCAAGGAATATGTATAATTTGTATGTATTTACTTAATGGCTATCGTGTAAGTTTTAGAATTTATGAAAATTGGATTGGAAAATGCAATACCCTTGAGTGAAATATAATGAAAGAACAGCTGTTCAAATTCTGTCTGGTATGATCCTTTAGTGATGCAAACAATTAAATTAACTAGTAGGTTTTAAGTTCGGATATTTCTCTAATTATCTTAGTTTGAGCTACCACATAAAATCACCAGGCCTTAAACGGACAGTTTAGTTCAAAGTTGAGTACATCAGTTGTGATCAACGTAGAGCCTGACACGTATATGTTAGCCCATGTTACCATCATTAGCACTATGAGGTACATTGAAAAAACAAAAAAAATCTGAACAATGTAGTGGCAGTATTGGTGCGTAAGACTAAATACTGAGAATCCGGTCCAAAACCACAGAACAAAAATGTGAATAAACTGTTCCACTGTGATTGATCCTGAAGCATGTCGTTGAAATTTTTCTACCACTGATCGTGATTATCAGTCAGTCAGTGACAACGTAGAACTTCGTAAGTACGTACATCAGTTCGAGTCGCCATACCACACTAGCACAGAGATGTAGTTGTCGATTCAAATCCCGTAGTGGTAGAGGTAGTAAAAGTATAAACAGTGATCGGAAAGATTGGGTTTTGAAGATGTTATTCAAGGAGTATAAGGCTACGTATTGGTTTTGCCGCCTTTAACTTTTTCCGAACTTCCTCCTACGCCAGCTAACATCATGGATCGACTTAGGCGGTGATCGGGCATCAGCTGTTAGACATAATTATATACATTTTTGATGAGTTACAGTTAACACTACTATTATTAATCACTTTCATATAGCTTCTGTCAGTTTATGGAGACCACTAACTTTTTCCCATGTTTGTTTTGTTTTTTTACATTGATATTGTGTAATGTCATCACTTCGCTATTAATGCTATGTTATTATTTTTTTTATAGCGTTTAGTTAAGGAAAAAGAAGCGCATATCGAGCAACTTTTACAGGAACGTGAAATGGAACGTTCTGACTTAGCTAAAGTTACTTTAGAAAGAGAAATGGCAAGTGCAATTTGTTTGATTTTACTGTTTTTTCCTCTCTCCCCCTCTCTGTATCATATTCACATTGATAAGACACTGCTGACAATAAGGATGCCTAATAGCTGTTTGTTATTGTTTTTACTCTGCATACTATTGATATCCATGATTTGTGGTTGATAACATGATGATATTGTGAATAGCCAGTTTAAAGTGCATACACTCGATGATATACATCTCTTTTTTAAGCCACACTAGATTCAACTAGGATAGTGGAATTCCCTAAATCATTTCATTTTTGATCAATTAATCCAGGAGACTGGTTGACACCTTGATTCAAATCTTTCGGTTTACAAGATTTACTGTTCATTGTGAAACTATGTGATGAAATCCCATCTTAGTTTGTCATGTATCCATTTGTTCACAATAATTCATGACAAACTTTACACTTATAATAGATATCCATAATTGATTAAAATACTTATTAAAACTCATTAAAAACTACTAGTGTTGTAGAGGGGGTGTTAAAATATCTTCTACAGTATTTTATTTAGTCGAGAAATCAATATGTGTTCGGTTGAAAAATGAGTAAGGGGGACTTGACCAGCACATTGTTTCACCCTTAATCTTACATAATTATCTGAAGTAGCTGGCAAGCAGTAATATGTAAACACCTATATTTTAGTTATATGTGTCCGTCGTTCCGTGATCAATTAAATTCCATTTCTGTCAATACTTTCATAAATATATTGACGACACTTTATTGTAGATTTCAGAAAATTTAACAATAATAATAATAACGGCTTTATTCAGTACTATATGTTTAGTACAATAAGCAATACTTTAATATTTTAATTATTCTTTAAAAATATTGTTTTTATACGTCAAATACAACAAACAGGTTAATATTAAGCCGTCTTATTTTAAACAGTATGAATAGCCTGCACTTTTTCCTTACAAATATATATCAGTTAACAAATAATTGAAAATTAATCTTAGTTTAAGCCTGTATATCAATGGTCATTTATAATCGTACAAAAAATCCAGACCTGGGAGTTTTAGCACTCATAAAGAGCACGATATCAGTCAGTTAATAAATGATATAGTTCTCTCTTGATTCAGTGTCTTCTTCGTTAACTAAAAAGATCATAGCTTCTTTCTGAATAACTTTGAGGAATCCACCTTTTAAACTAGTCACTTTTGAACACATAATTGTTAATAATATTGTTTTGGCTATGTTACGTATGCCTGAACACTGATCACCACGATGCGCCATTCTAGCCGGTGTTGGGGATGGTTGGAAGAAAGTTAGGGGTGGCATCAATTCTTTGAAGTCACTAACTTCTGGTCTGAGCCATGTTGGTAGATGCAGACCACTTGGTTAGGGTCCACGTGACTATCGTAACCAATGGTTGGAGACTCTGGGTGACATGGCTCGGTATCCATCACAATGGTGTAGGCGTATACACTCTTTGTCTTCCCTTAACCTATGAGATTAAAATTGCTTTATATCTTTCTTTCTACGAACGAATTCTTTCTTTCTGTACTATATCTTTATATGCAATCTTTCTTTTATACATTACAATCATTGAAGTAACTCCTTTTATGAATTTGGTGTTCATCTTGTTGTGCTGATGAGGTATGGCAACTTGGACCGATGCATATATGTGCCTGGTCTTACGTTGTAGCTGACTGACTGACTTTGACTGTCTTTGGTTCATAAGAATGTATGCATATAACACAGCATAGTTTAGAATTTTATTAAAATCACTAACATTTCATACTTTCTTTCATTAAAATTATTGTCACTAGTTTCAGAACGTAATAAAATATTTTTGCAGTTGTTATCTGTTCATGTACATTTATATCAACCTATTGTAAATCTTATTTAGGTATTCATAAACACTATTATTTACTAGAAAATTCATGTTAACTGTTCTAATGAACTTGGTGAATGACAGTTGTATAAATTCCAAACAAGTTTTTTTTTAAATTTTATCCAAGTATTCAGAAGACATAGATTTGTATGGGAATATTTGGATGGTTAATTCACACTAAAATAAAAAAATTAGAAATTAAAAAATGTTGACGACTTGTTGTTAAATGTAGTGTATTTAGTAATTAAACCATTATGTTATTATGAATAACTCTACAGATCATTAGTGCAACTTCTTCATACATGTGTACACATAGAGAAAGAGTTTATCAGTCAAGTAAGTTTTTTAACCAAACTCAACAATTAACGTAATGTACTCAAACTAGATATTTAATAGTAATTTTGTTTAGACTAATCTATGGTCGACCTTTGAGCGACGATAAAGTGGCCATGAAACAATTCACCTACTTAGTAGGATCAAAAGAGGGTTATAAATTAATATGAGGAGTTAGAATTAGGATTTAGAGTTAAAATTTAGTGTTAGGAATTAAAGCAAAGGTTTTCATTACGAACAGACATAAGCTATAATGCTATTTAACTATATGGATGAATGAATTTTGCGCCAAAATCCAAGATCTGATATCCTTAATTTCGTTTATTCGTCTATAAATTATGGTCTCGCCGTAATTTTTATACATAAGGTATCACTAATTAACTAAGTAATAATTTAATTATTACTTTAAGAAATTAATGGTCATCTTAACTTATTTTTTGTTAAAGACAATAGAAACAATCATTGAATAAGTTAGTATTCCGTTGTTTTCATTTCACTTATACATAAAAAACCAACTGAAGAGTTGATATCGTTCAGTACACTTATCATATATACTCATAACTTTATTTACTCTATGCAGTATATTTATTTATGTTTTCGAATCGAGACTTTATAATGAATTCAAAGAAAAATGAAACTTCTTAGTTAATTAAAGGGGTTTTATATAGATTAATTTAATTTATAGGTAGTATCGTCATAGACTGATCTCAGCTGAAGCGCTATTGATAAGGATAGAACACTTGATGATTGTTTCATCTTAATATGGGACTACCCACTAGTGAACAGCCACATCTGCTCCAGGGATTGAACCCGGGACTATTATTTCATAGATAGGTCAGTCTTTACTAACAATCAGTAGACGTATTAATAATATTTTTGTAATTTATAGCACATAATAAGCTTAGTACAATAAAAAAGGAAGTACATCAAGTAGAATAAGGTGAAAATGATGCCAGTCAGTAGAAGATGGCGATGTTGTAGAAAGAAACAAGGAAAACAGTGTTAAAAAAAAAATCAATTTTCAAGTAAGAAAGAAATCGTCATAAATTTCGTCCGGTTATAACAGAAAACTGCAATAGAATCATCAATGGCTTTTATTAGGAACCTTGTTTGATAACGATTCAATCTACCAAGTTGCAGAATTTTTAGGATCCCATTCAGGTAGTTGTAGAATTAAATAAATTCACTCCTGTAAATTACAGATTTACTAATAATCATATAGGGCTACTCAAATCTTCCAGTGTCTCAGAATTTACAAACAGACACAAGGTCCTACTAGTCTTGTACAATTACTGCTGTGGTGTAAAGTATGTAAGCTGCATATTCTTTAAATCGAAGCATAGGATCTATTTAATAATGAATATTTTTTGTTATATCCCGATGAGTAGAAGAATTGTATTCCTGACGTTTCGTGGCTTATTGTAAGCCACTTTTTCAGAGTAAATAAATGACCGAAATTAATTAACACAAGTTTAACTAGCACTATTTAACCTGGGGTTATTACAAAAGCCTAGGAAACCGATGCAAGCGTTCATTTAGAAGATTTATCACATTTTCAATTAGTATGCGGTAATAATATAGTTAGTGATCTTAGTTTTACTCAGTAACATTGATAACAGCCTTTACGAGTGTGACCAATCGGCGTGAATGTTATCATTTATTTTTTATATCCAAGGAAATAAGTAATTGTGGGTAATTCACCAAATCGCTCAGGCGATTAACTAATACTTTAACATGTCTTTTCTCAACGTGTATCTGTTCCTACAAGTTTTCTCTTAACAAGCATTATTGCTTATACCATATTGCGCATTATATTTGGTATCGATTTGAAAATGATCTAGACATTCATACATTGTCTACTCTTTTTAGCACTACCACCACTATGATAAGTCGCTGAACTTATCACGTATTATCATTTTAATTGATTTTACTAAAATGACCAGTGATTTTTCTCATATTTTGATGATAAATCATATTTGTAAAGGCTCAAGCTGAAACATTGAATCAACGAGCTTTGATACAACAATTGAACCAACAATTAGAAAATATGGAAGCTGTTCTTCAACATTTACGAGACGAACATGAACAAACAACGATTAAGCTACATGAAGAACGAAAGTGAGAAATCTTTCAGATGTGTTCTTTTGTTAATGATATTTTAATAATTTCTATTTATTTATTCTATAAAATCAAGTTTATTCAAAACATTGGTATAGATATTATCCAGTTATAACGGAAAATTCATATTTCAAAATAAAACAGAAGAAAATACAATGATGTGTACTAATCCAAACAGCTACAATTAACGTCGTCATAGCTACCTTAAATAAAGACAATGAAATAGAAATAGTAATATCAAAAATAGTGTGATGAAGTTGAAAGACGATGAAAGTATAAAACCAAGTAAATATCAAGATTTAGTTCAATTTTCAACATTTATATTAGGGAACAGACTTTAAATATTTTCCGTCATCTATCTACTGATTAATGGTATCTTGCGAAATTTGAGTAGATAATTTAAATTAACAATTAATGACTTGTTAAATTGATGATATATGTTCTTTAACGGAATTGCCTCCAACAGTTCATTTTTACTCAACATATAGTTAAGTTAAGCTAGAATAAGAATATTTACATATCTGATCATCTGTTCGATTATCTTAATCTATTACTATTAACAGAACAGCTCTGCGGTCACGTACCCAGGTCGTTAAGACCAAAACTAATTCGATTTCCTTTTCAGGTTCAAGAAATACCCTTCCACGGTGTGGGCGACCGGGAAGTGACATCAGCCCTCATACCTGTAACAGCACACGAGACCAAGTTGGTCACATTCAAATCCTTCCTACACCTCCTAATAACTCTCTTATCTCCACGAACAACCCTTCTCACTTCCCTTTATCACCTCGCCCCACTAGTGCAAACGATTCGAGTACGCGGGATGTTATTCCTGGTCTCCTGAAACCACGCTCTAAACTACACGTAGGAGCTTTCAACGTCCGAACACTGCCAAATAGGACAACAGGCTTCCTTAGCTAAGACTTTAGAATCTCGCTCCATCGATTTGTGCTGCATCTCTGAAACGCGCATACAGGATCCTACTAGTGTCATTCATTTGACCGCACCATGTCAAAGTAACGAACCAACTCGATTTAAGCTTCGTGTATCTGGAAGCCCTGATGCTGCTTCCCGTTGCCTCGCTGGCGTAGGTATAGCATTGAGTCCTGGGGCAGAACTAGCTCTTTTACACTGGATCCCAGTAGACAGTCGTTTGTGCGCTGTCTGACTAAACGGAACAGTAAGGACTCGGAAAGATAGGGACACTCGTCGTTGCCTGTTCGTTGTCTCTGCCTACTCTCCCACTGACTGCAGCTCAGATGATGTAAAAGATGAGTTTTACAGAAAGCTTTCCGACCTTCTCCGAAAAGCTAGGCGTTCAGATGTAGTAATAGTGGCTGGTGACTTAAATGCTCAAGTAGGTAAACTAAGCGAAAAGGAAAGACACCTGGGTGGATCTTATGGTGTCGCGGCTCAAAGAACAGATAACGGTGACCGTCTGTTGCAGCCATGCCCAGATAACCGCCTGTTTCTTGCAAACACTAACTTTAAGCATAAGGAAAAACATCTTTTGAGATGGCGACCCCCTAATCGGTCCCAACGTTGGACCCAAATAGATCACATCGCTGTCAGCCACCGATGGAGGGGCCCGATGGAAGACTGTCGCTCGTTCTGAAGCACATGCTTAGACTCAGATCATGCTCTAGTGCGAGCGCGTATTTGTCTACGTCTTACTGGACGTAGGAAAGATGGTGCAAAGAAACCCCTTAGGGTCCTACTTAATGATAGTCAAGCTAAGAGTATATTTCAGGAACAACTAGAAAAACAGTTAGGCAGCCATGTAAGTGATGCCCACCCCTAGGCAGTGTGGAATGACATCCGAAAAGCTGTAGAAACAGCAGTGATGTCTGCAAGTACGGTAAACCATAAGGTTAGGGAGAAACACTGGATCTCAGCAGCATCTACCGCACTGATAAATGCTCGGAAACTCACTCCATCTGGCTCTGAACATAACGAAGAGCGGAGTCAGCTTAAGCGTAAACTGACCAGAAGCCTACGCATTGATCGTGAACAGTGGTGGGTAGCGAAAGCAAGAGAGATGGAAAAGGTAACGGCAATAGGTAACAGCAGGCAACTGTTCAGACTTGTTAAGGAAACCGGTATTAGGAACCCAACTGTTAGCGCAACAATCTCAGAGCAAGACGGACATATTGTTCATTCTCAATCCAGGAGATTGGATCGATGGGAAAAACACTTTGGGGATCAGTTCAAATGGCCTTCAGCCACACTTTGGTTTCCCACGATCTCCAGTCTACCTGAATGGCAAGTTAATGTAAATCCTCCGACTCTTTACGAAGTTGAAAAAGCTACAGGAAATCTGAAGAGTGGGAGAGCAGCAGGTCCTGACAAGTTTAACTCTGAGATTTTTAAGGATGGCGGTCCAGTATTAGCAGCGAGATTGACTGAGGTCTTAGGTAGAATCTGGGAACTGGACGTAATCCCATCTAACTGGTCTCAATCACTGATTTCGCCAGTCTATAAGAATGGACAAAGGTCTTCTTGTGACAATCACAGAGGAATTAGTTTGACTAATATAGTATCTAAAATATTGGCTTCAATAATACTTCGACGTCTAACCAAAGCTCGTGAAGAGCAGACTAGAGAAAACCAGGCTGGTTTTCGACCTGGATGTGGTTGTATAGATCAGATATTCACACTACGTCAGGTCCTAGAACATAGACACACATTCAGACGCTCCACAATAATAGTATTTCTCGACCTTAAGGCGGCATTTGACTCTGTTGATCGTGAGGTTCTATGGCAGTGTTTGTCACTGAAAGGAGTACCAAAGAAGTACATTAACCTTATAAAGGCTCTCCACTCGAACACAACTGGTCGAGTGAGAGCTTATGGAGAACTGTCATCAGAACTGATTACCTCAAGTGGTGTTTGTCAGGGCTGTCCACTCTCTCCATTCTTGTTTAACTTTGTTGTTGACGTCCTTTTAGAGATGACACTTCCCTCATCTAAATTTCTAGGAGTTGAACTTCTACCAGGAGATACACTTGTTGACTTAGAATATGCCCATGACATAGTTCTATTTGGTGAAGACGCTGAAAAAATGCAGTCTGCTGACCACTCTAAGCAACAATGCAGGCATGTTTGGCATGCGATTTTCTCCCTCGAAATGCAAAATGTTGCTTCAGGATTGGGTTGCGTCGACACCCGAACTAGTGATAGGGAGTGAAGTAGTTGAGCGTGTCGACTGCTTCACTTATCTTGGGAATCTCATCAGCCCTTGAGGTCTGGTGTGTGACGAAATCTCAGTACGGATACAGAAGGCTCGACTAGATTTTGCCAACTTGCGTCATTCGTGGCGATGGCGAGATATCCGTCTATCAACCAAAGGACGTGTTTACTGCACAGCAGTTCGTTCCGTCCTACTTTATGGCAGTGAAACATGGCCAGTAAGAGTAGAGGATATTCGTAGGTTACTAGTATTTGATCATAGGTGTCTTCGAAACATTGCTCGTATATCCTGGGACCACCGAGTAAGTAATGCAGTTGTTATGAAACGGGTACTAGGTAAGGATGGCAAATCAATTGATGAAGTAATGAAACTTAATCAGTTGAGATGGCTGGGACATGTGTTGCGCATGCCCGATCACCGACTGCCCTGACGTGCTATGTTTTCTGGTGTAGGAATAGGTTGGAAGAAAGCTAGGGGCGGCCAGACCAAAACATGGCACAAATCCATGAAGTCACTGACAAGTGGACTGAGTCATGTTGGTAGGTGTAGACTACCTGGTTGGGGTCTGCGAGACGATAACAACCGATGTTTAGAGACCTTGAATGACATGACACAAAATCGTTTGCAATGGCGCAGGTGCATCCACCTCTGTGTTCTCTCAAACTCTAATCTTCTGTATTCTTCATGTCCTTTATTTTCTTTCCAAATCTATTCCACTGGACTATACTTCTTAAATACATCATCAAACCCTAATGTTCCCTATCACTACCTCTTCCACTACGGGATTTGAATCAATAACTGAATCTCTGTGCTAATGTGGTATGGCAACTCGAACTGATGTACGTACGTACGAAGTTCCACGTTGTTAATGACTGACTGACTGACTCATAAACGGTTGCATATTGTTTTTTTCATGTAAGGTTCTTCTATTTCTATGTGTGCATACTTTCACCATGCAGTTAGTTGAACTTCTTTCTTTGAGTTATTTGTTTCTCAGATTCGTTGTTCTGTTACTTTAACTCGATATATGACGTAGTACTGTTGACTGTAAATGGTGTTCTCGAATCAGTGTTTTCTTGTATTCAGCTTCACAAATATCAGGTCATGGTTGGCAAACATGAATTCCTATAAGTATTTTATAACTAACGTCCAAGTAGACAGTTACGTGATCGTCATCTTTGAGTATAAATTTTGTGTGCAAATTTTTATGCCTAGTATTTAGACGCTTAAACATATATTTCCTAACGCTATCCAGAAGCCTTTTATTTTTGAATTTCAAACAGGAAAACAATAGACAAAATCTATGGAAGCAGTTTAACTTCCAAGGTTGTTTTATGTACAGAAACAAGGATATTTTACTTTTAACAATCGTGATTTTCTGTTCACTTCATTACATAAACGCTTATTTTAAGCTTCGATATATTTTGTCATTTTCTTAATCGAAACACCAAAACTTTGTTTTAATTATGATAACTAATTCCAGCAATTTACTGAATCTTTTTAATTTGATTTTCAGCATGCATAAACTTTCTCAAACTATCTCTACGTTTAATTAATAGAACTGATATATATATATATATATATATATATATATATATATATAGTTCATAAACCTGAGCTTCTGGAAGCTCTTGAATTCTCTTGGAAGTTCTTAACAATTACTGATTGGTCAAAGTATCAAGGGACTATTGAGGGTTCTGATAACAAATAACTTGATTTATAAATTTCATCGCTTAATTTAACTTTTCACTACATATATTGATGTAGTATTGGACGAGGACTATTCATGTTTTTGAATTTAAAACGTATATTTCATATTTATTACTGAGGATTTATGACTATATGCAGTTGATAGTCTACAAAAATAACGATGTGAACTGAAATGAATTCGTTTCAGTTCAATAGGCTGCCATCAGCTACTTACAACAGATAATATTTAAAAAACATCATACAAATTTAATGTATCAAAAGTTCTATTAATTAAACGTAGAGATAGTTTGAGAAAGTTTATGCATGCTGAAAATCAAATTAAAAAGATTCAGTAAATTGCTGGAATTAGTTATCATAATTAAAACAAAGTTTTGGTGTTTCGATTAAGAAAATGACAAAATATATCGAAGCTTAAAATAAGCGTTTATGTAATGAAGTGAACAGAAAATCACGATTGTTAAAAGTGAAATTCATTCGATTGATACAAAATTACAACTTCGCAAGTGAGATAGATTCATATGGCATCATTTTGTTCTCTTGATATTTAGTAAGTCAGTGGTCGATATTAGATTTGGTTTATACATGATGCATTCACGTGATCCATTGGATACCAACTTGGAGGTATTATAGTAACGCTCTGAAAAATAAGCTTAACAGGTCCTATCTTCCCTCCTTAGGTAGCTTCACGGGTGCGTTCTACTGAGTAACATTAAATAAAGATGGTATAGCTTCTTAGTTTTCAATGATTGTCCTGTTGCATTCAGTTCATGGTGTAAACACCCTTCAGATGAATCAATCGGCCGAAGCAGATCAGTATATATATATATATATATATATATATATATATATATATATATATATATATATATATATATATATATATATAGTTCATAACCCTGAGCTTCTGGAAGCTCTTGAATTCTCTTGGAAGTTCTTAACAATTACTGATTGGTCAAAGTATCATATATATATATATATATATATATATATATATATATATATATATATATATATATATATATATATATATATATATATATATATATATATATAATTTACCTTTTTCTCTATGCCTAATTAACTTCGTCCTTGAAAAGTTCAGAATACACCCCAACCTTATTCAGTAAACAAGTGTGATATTCATTGTACAATTTGACCTTAAAGTCTATTATGTACAACTAGTTCATGCAACATAACTCAATTATTTATTCACTTATGATCTGATTTTATACTCTTCATTGTTGTTCTGTATATGTTTCTTTTCATCATACTTTTAAATTAGTATACTTTCTATTTATTGGAACGTTTGGATTCTCATGTGCAAATATTTTGTGTTTGAGTAGAAAAAGTGTTTTGTGGTCCTAGTCGACTACAGTACGCGCTTCCTGCTGTCTGCTCAACTAGCTAGTCAAAACAAGATTAAGATGCATAGAATCCTTATACTACAGGGTGAATAAATATGCACATAAGTAATGTGACAATATAAATGTAATTAATTCATTCACCAGGTACTTTGGTATGAGCTAGTGAGGGTTGCTCAGTTGCTTTAAACCGAAGTGGATGGAATGAGGCTCAAGCCTGGAACTTAGCAGTGGAAATTTAAATGTCTTAACCATTAAGCCGCTACTCCATTCATAAATCATGAGTATATATACGAAACACTGAATGGATCCAGATACAAATGTGAGCGGTCAACGAGAATTAAAAAACAACTCGCTCACGATAAGCATGTCTACACGTTTATTTCTCACTTACCATGTATATTTACTTCAGCATGTGTTCTCTTTGGACTCTCCCTGCCTCCTACCTGTCTGTACTAGTTTTCATGTTTATTCATTTGTTCCAGTTGATATCAAGGCGTATTATAAAAATCAGTTCGTTTAAGATTACGGGTATGATTTACTGGTGTGACATTTAACACAAAACCCTGATCTGGAGTTTTTAACACCAAAAAATGCTTATATCTTGTCATACTTGTTGGCTGTTTAATAAAACTATTCATAACTAAGTATAATTATTTATTGTTTTATTTTTAATATATTCATTAAAATTTAAATAGAAATCTTGAAGATTTACAATTTCGAATAGAAGAAGAAAACATTGACAAGAGCACAATTGAATCACAGAATGCAGACGATGAATCGAAAATATTCGAACTGGAAGAAGCGCTAATGTCAGCTCGTGAAACGAATGAACGTATGGAATTAGAATTAAATAAATTACGAATAGAATTAAATGATCTTTTACAAAAACAAACAAATGTGTTAAATCAAAATGATGAAAACAAATCTCAAATTCAGGCAAGTGAACTAAACGTAGGAAGTTGTTTTTGTGTCGTACAGTTTTATTCCCAATAGTTATCGATATGAACATTTTCATTTAAATATTTCGCTTTACAATAATATCAACTTTGCTTATAGTTTAGTGCTAATGAAATATTATTTGTCAACATTTTATTTATTTATTTAAATATAAACATTGATACAAGGTCGTACCAAATATATGTGCACCACACTTTGTCATTCGATTTATGTATGGGCTGGAATACTGCACGGGCGCCCAAACCGAAGCAGGATCTGTCAACAGTTATACAGACCATTGTGTTTGTTTTAACACATAGTCTATGGCTTGATTTCATTTCTGGTATCATCTTATTTTCTCTAATAAAAATTAAAAAATTGCTTTGTTTATCAGTAGGTTATGTCATGCTAGTATATAGAGCCACTTCCCCGATGATTCTGAAAGCATCAACCAGGTCTGTTGTGAGATTAACTCACTGAAGACAATGGTGACGGTAGCGCAACTTCGTGGATTGGTTAAAGTTAGACATAAACACCGTTGGATTCCGGCTCAGTGGTCTAGTCGGTTAAGCGCCTGGCGTGAGACTGGTAGGTTCTGGGTTCGAATCCCGCGAGGGCACTGCTGAGGGGTCCCATACTAGGACGAAACGGCCGTCCAGTGCTTCCAGGCTTTCCATGGTGGTCTAGCTTCAATTGATTCATGATTTCAACTATTTTAAGGAAATGTCAAACATGGCGTTCGTTAAGATAAAACCGTCGCCATGCTAGAAAATGAAAGTTGTTCTTGTCAAAATAATTATGAATTCAACTGTTTCATTCACTTTTACTCTCTCAAAATATCTTTGTTACCTATCTCAGTTCAGAGTATGTATTTCACTCTTGACTGTTCACTTTGGTCTCAACTACTGAGTATTGTATTTGTGTGTGTATTAATCCATGTACCATTACATAATCACGAATTTAGCTGAACTTCTTACCTTGAAGTTAATGAGCGGAAATTTCTGTCATCTTTCTCTCTCTCTCCCTCTCTCGTTTATTTACTTTTTTCTCTATCTTTTTGTGTCGTGCATATTGATGAGATACTTCCAGAATAATAAATGAGATTTATTTTTGAATTGAACACACTGATTTTTATTTGTGACAGAATATTCATTGTTTATGTTTTTAGTCTACACAACATGATAATGACGATTAGTGTTTTCGCGTTCATGCATATCAATACACAAATTAACCGAAGTGTATAAAATAGATTATCTCTAGGTTCACCAACATATAAATATGTATATATTCACTACTTGACTTATGATATGGAACTGCAATTAATTTAAGAGATGGTCAAATATAGATTACTTTTATGCAAACGATGTATTTTGTTTATCATGTACTCTCCAAATTTCGTTAGCCTACTTCCTTTTTACTTTAAGACGTAACAGAAGTTAAGAGTGTTCTCTACATTGCTTGTGTGTTTGAGGTAAAATTCCTCTATGCGTGTTGTAAAGTTTGATTGACAGAAGAGAAAATGACAAATTAATAAAGTTATAGGTTTCGATTTAGTCATGTAAAAAGATGTCGATTACACGATGTACTTTACTTGGTTATTAAAGATAAGTGACCCCATATTATAAGTCCCATTGCTTCACGATCGGTTATTTCTTTCCTACTGGTTAATCTAAAGAATTTTATTCCTTGGGTGATCGTATTGTTTTTTCTAACGTTACTCAAGTGTTCGACATTTTGAGTTTCCATATTATTTCATGATGTTCTTCATTCTATCAGTCAACCAGTTGACATAAAATTTAGTTGTGATAATAATGTTTTTCGTTAGTTTTTGTCACTGCAATTATGTTTCCCAGTCTCCATATCGTTTATTTTCAATCTATACATGTAGGGAAAACCATCTCTTCAATTCACTGGGCTTGTGTCTGAGACGTCTATTACTCCAACTGAAAACGAAGGCGAGTCTTTGAAAAGTGAATGTGAACGGTTACGTAATTTGTTGGCTGAGCGTCAGGCTGAAGCAGAAATTATGCTAAAGCATCAAGCTGAAACAATTGAGTCATTAACCGCTGAGTTTAATGGACAAGTTGAGAAACTAAATTGTCAGTTGCAGAACTCTTCAAAGTATGTTTGCCTTATCCTTGTGATTTACCAAGTTATTTTAAAAAGATTTTAACAATATTAGTAATCGTTCGATTTGATACTATGATTTTTGGAACAACGAAGAATTCTCATCAATTGCGCAATATTACAATAAATAATCTCTTTAACATGTATTCAAATCGCAATTACTTAAAGCATATTTTAAAAGTGTTTTCAACAGTCAATGTTCTGTTACAAGTTTCAGCTGCTATACATATTTTTCCATTTATCATATATAAGACACTTAAATTTTTATATTGTTGTCTCCTGTTTTGTCAATGAATAGATCAAAAAGGAAATGTGCTAATAGCTAGTGTTTCTGTTTCAGTTTTCCAGTACTTAGACTAACAATAATTTGTAGTTATTTCATAATAACTTGTAAGTACATATAGCTTTTATAAATTTTCAGTTCAAACAAATCATAAGTAGGCAGTTTACTTGAAATATTTGTACATTTGAAAAATAGGGAGGAGGGCTAAATGCTTGATCAAGCCACCGTTAGGTCAATATTTGTTTCTATAACATATTAAATGATTAGTTTTTTCTACTCTCTTCCCTTTAAATTAGTGATAGCCTGTAATTCTTGCTCATTTTCACTATATTTTCCTAGTGTTTAGTTTAGTTCAATCCCTTACCTTAATCGTAATATTATTATATAACATGACGCAACAAATAGTTTTTTTTAATAATATTCGAAATTAAACTTAGTTGTTAGGTTTCGACTTTTTCTTTTCATTTCGTCAATATCTCATCGCAATTTTGAACTTGTATGGCATCTTAGCTTTACTTTATCCCAATTTCAATCTGACTGACTGTGATTTGCAAGGATTCATGGATATTTTGATTGAATTTCTTCTCGACAGTTGTGCACGTTAAGCCTAGCCACCTAAACTAGTGACCGCGTTGCAACTCGGTTTGTAGAATTGGCTCGGCACTAATGAACTGGTCAGACATGACATCAATAACTACTTAATGGTCGATCAGCTGTAAAAATTTGTCAGGACGTTAGTCGCTGCACGAATAGTTCAGTGGTAAGGTCTCAGGCTGTGAAGCTAGGTGACATGGGAATAAATCCACTAGGGAATACCGCTTCCCTTACGATTACAGACACACATTACTGACGAGCTCTCAATATCGCACAACGTATGTCCAGATTGTCGTCTCAGCTACAACCAAGTACCTCACACCATTCCATTGAAGTCATTTGAGCAAGGAAAACGATTTAAACATAAAACGCGAATGTTATTTTTCTTATCTTTAACTATGCATATTGTTATTGTTATACTGCCATTTATTTATTAGTGTTTTCCGTCGTCAGTTCATTACACAACTTGATTATTCCACGTAATAAATTAAACTACACTAGTTATTTCTACCTTTATATATGTTATTCAGTAATATATGACTTTCAGCGCTTATCTAACTTATAACGTTTCATAATAAGAATCCATTCACACTTTTTATAACTGGTCTGTTTCCTTGTTTTAGTGAAATTCAAACATTTAAAAACGAGAATGATTTACTGAAACAACAGAATAATGAATTAGTCCTAAGTTTAAAGAGTCAAATTGATCAATTAAATAAACAACTGACAGAACAAGAAAAAATTGCTAATGAAAAATTATCCATGTTTGAAAATCGGATTAAAAAGTTGGTAAGTTTATTTTAACAGTGTTATTTTGTTAAGGTTTTGTCTATGTTAGGTGGTTAGAGGCAGTCAACAAGATTCTCTGGACCCAAGTTTTATACTAGTTGAGACTGGTCAGCAAGGCGCATATACGTTTGAGAGGGAGCTGATGTTGTTCATGAAATTCAAACCTTTGTGACTCCGTGTCAGTCAGTAATAAACAATGTTGAGCCTCGGAAAAATGTGCGTTAGCACGATTTACCAGACTTATTCAGCACAACAACATGAAATGACCTAAATGAGTGCAGATGAATCTGAATAATGTTGTAGTAGTGATCATGCGAAAGACCGCATTGAGAATACGATTCGGAAAGAAATGACGGAAAGGTATATTTGAAGGAATACTGAAATTCAAGACTAATTCTGAAACATTTTGCCCAACGTCAGTCATCCATGACATCATTGGTACTTATTTCAGATAGAAGTGAGCTATCAGGATCTCTTCATTATTGACTGACGGCTTTTTCTGTTGACCTGGGATTCGGTTGATTGTTGTTGATGATTAAATGGTCGTTGTTTGTATTACTTGTTTTCTCTCCTAACTTGATCTCTAACCTTCATGTTGTGACTTTTTTCTGATTGTCTGATAGCTTTGACCAGTTTTGATATGCCTATTGATTGGTACTTGACTAGAGTGCCACGCTTCTAAAAAGTCTTTAACTTTCTTTCTGTTTTATTTGTTCAATTTTTCGACCTTCCCTTGATTAATCCCACGTCCGCAGTTGTCCACATGCGTTGATATAAGCGAAGCTATTTTGTTGCGGTACTACCTCTACTATTCCCGGATTTGGCCTGAAACTTTCAATCTCTTTGTGCTAATGATGTACATATGTACCAGGTTCTGCGTTATGACTGACCGATTAATATATATATATATATATATATATATATATATATATATATCAGTCAGTCAGTCAGCTGCAACGTAGGACCAGGCACGTATATGCATCGGTCCAAGTTGCCACACCGCATTAGCACAACAAGATGAACACCGGATTCATAGAAGTAGTTAATTCAGTGGTGGCAATATATAGAAGAAAGAGTGTGTATAAGGAGATAGTACAGGAAGATAGAATTAGTTCGTAGAAAGAAAGATTTGAAGTGATTTTAATCTCTTAGTTTAAAGGAAGACAGAGAGTGAATACACCGACGCCATTGTGATCGATTCTGAGCCGTGTCACCAAGAGTCTCCAACCATTGGTTACGATAGTCACGCGGACCCCAACCAGGTAGTCTGCATCTACCAACATGGCTCAGACCAGAAGTTAGTGACTTCAAGCACTGATGTCACGTTTTGGTTTGGCCGCCCCTAAAATTCTTCCAATTATCCCTAACACCAGTGAGCATTGCGCGTCGTGATAATCGGTGTTCAGGCATACGCAACATGTGGCCCAACCATCTCAGTCGATGAAGATTCACAACCTCATCAACTGACTTACCATCATTCCCAAATACCCTGCGTCTAACCTCACTATTACTTACCTGGTGATCTCAGCAGATACCAGTAATATTTCTAAGGCATATGTGGTCAAATACTAGTAACTTACGAGTATCTTCAACTCTTAATGACCATGTTTCGCAGCCGTATAGTAGAACGGAACGAACTGCCGCGCAGTATACTCGTCCCTTAATTGATAGACGGATATCTCGCCTTCGCCATAGATGACGTAAGTTGGCAAAGGCCAAACGAGCTTTTCGAATCCGTGCTGAGATTTTGTCAGACACCAACCCATTAGGGCTGATCAGACTTCCAAGATAAGTGAAGTTGTCAACGCGTTCGACTACTTCACTCCCTATCCTTAGTTCGGGTGTTGACGCAGACCAGTCCTGAAGCAACAACTTGCATTTGGAGGGAGAGAAGCGCATCCCAAACATTCTAGCATTGTTGCTCAGTGCTACCAAAAGACTCTGCATTTCATCAGCGTCTTCACCAAACAGGACTATGTCATCTGCGTATTCTAAGTCAATAAGTGGACCTCCTGGTAGGGGATCAATACCCGAGAATTCAGTCGATGAGAGCGTTATTTCCATCAGTAGATCTATGATGGAGTTGAACAAAAATGGAGAAAGTGGACAGCCTTGGCGGACGCCACTTGAGGTTGCGCCTTTCAATGACAGACACTGCCACAGAACCTCTCGGTCAACAGAGTCAAACGCTGCTTTTAAATCAAGGAAGACCACCATTGTCGGACGCCGATAAGTATGCCTGTGTCCTAAAACCTGACAAACGGTGAATATGTGGTCTATGCATCCACGACCAGGTCTGAAGCCAGCCTGATTTTCACGTGTTTGCAACTCACGAGTCTTAGTTAGGCGTCCGAAAATTATCGAAGCTAGTATTTTAGATATTATATTAGTTAAACTAATCCCTCTGTGGTTGTCACAGGATGATTTTGACCCTTTCTTAAATATTGGGACAATAAGTGATTGTGACCAGTTAGATGGGATAACGTCTAACTCCCAGATTTTAGCTAAAATATTAGTCAACCTAATCGCTAAGACTAGACCACCATCCTTAAAGACCTCTGGGGCCAATCCATCTTGACCAGCTGCCCTTCCTCGTTTCAGATTAGCTATAGCCTTTTGAACTTCAGCTAGAGTTAGGGGGCCTACTTCAATGTTCCATTCACACTGTCTGGGAATAGAGGGTAGTTGTAGAGTAGCTGAAGGCCAGCTAAACTGCTCCTTAAAGTGTTCCGCCCATCGTTCTAAGCGTCTGGACTGGGAGCAGATGAGAGTGTCGTCTTTTTCCGAAATGGTCTGACTTACACTTGATTTATTAATTCCAGTTTCTTTTATTAGTCTGTAGAGTTGTCTTGTGTTCCCTATAGCCGCCGCCTTTTCCATCTCTTTTGCTTTCGTTGCCCACCACTGCTCACGATCATTCCTTAGACTTTTGCTTAATCTAGATTTGATTTCTTTACGCTCTTCATTGTATTCAAAACCTGATGGTATGAGTTTGCGAGAATCTATCAGTGCAATAGACCTTGAAGAAATCCATTGGTTCTTTGTAACCCTGTGGTTTAAATCACTAGTAGATGTCACTGCTGTTTCCACAGCTGCTTGTATGTCTTTCCAATCAACATCGGGGTCAGTCTCGTTTTCAGGACTACCCAAGTGTGACCTCAGTTGTTCCTGGAACCTACTTTTGGTTTTCTCATTACTCAATTTGGTTCTAATGAGTCTTTTTTGTGTGGCTTTTTTGCGTCCAGTGAGGCGCAAGCAGATGCGTGCTCGTACTACGGCATGGTCGGAGTCCAATCAGGTACTCCAGAATGAGCGACAATCTTCTATTGACCCTCTCCAACGATGACTGATGGCAATATGGTCTATTTGAGTCCATCGTTGGTTTGGTGCAGGAAGTCGCCATGGTAGACGATGTCTCTCCTTATGCTTAAAATTTGTGTTTGCTAAAAATAAACGATTGTCTGAGCAAAGTTGCAGCAGACGATCACCATTATCTGTTCGCTGTGCCGGAATACTAAAATACCCACCTAAATGTCTTTCTGTTTTGTTTAAGCTACCTACCTGGGCATTAAAGTCACCTCCTACGAGTACTATGTCTGAACGTTTAGCTTTCTGAAGAAGTTCAGACAGCTTTCTGTAAAATTCATCTTTCACTTCATCCGCACTGCAGTCAGTGGGAGCGTAGGCAGAAACGACGAAAAGGCAACGACGTGTGTCCCTATCCTTTCGAGTTCTTACGGAGCCGTTTAGCCGAACAGCGCATAGACGACTATTAACGGGGATCCACTCTAATAGTGCTTGTTCCGCCCTCATGCTTAGTGCTATGCCTACACCTGCAAGTCCACGAGAACTAGCCATCGGGTCGCCAGATACACGGAGGGTGTATCTCGTTGGCACTCCGTTTTGCCGAGGTGAGGTCAAGTGAATGACCACACTAGGATCCTGTATGCGTGTTTCGGAGACACAGCATACATCAATGGTACGAGATTCTAAGGTTTTAGCCAAGGAAGCCTGCTGACCGATTTGGCATAGTGTGCGTACGTTGAAGGCTCCAATGTGTAGTTTGGAGCGAGGTTTCAGTAGACCTGGGACAGTGTTTTGCGCACTAGAATCGTTGGCTGTGGTGACACTTGAGGAGGAAGCCGAAAGAGGGAGTTTAGATTTGAAAGTCGATGTAAGAGGAATAATAGGAATTGAAGAGGTAGGTTGATTATGAATACAGTGGTCTTGAGTGCTGTTAAAGGTATATATATATATATATATATATATATATATATATATATATATATATATATATATATATATATATATATATATGTAAAGTCGTTGAATTTATTTTGTTATTCATTTATGTAGAATCATTTATTAGAAGCAGAGAAAACTAAATCAACTTCATCTTCTGATCCGTCCCAGATGACCAGTGAAAATTTAAGCAAACTAAAAGACCAACAAAATGCAACTATGCAAGAGTTAACTGATTATCAGGTAAATGAAATGTATTGTAGAATACTATTCTAATTACTTTACATGTACATGCTTATGTGCTTTTTTACTTATGAAATCGTTTGTTATAGTTGGTAGCATTGTAATAGTTTCATTGTTTATTTATAAAATGAATACAATCCTACTTCAACCTTGTCAATCATTTGAACTTCTCACTTGAATCTTTCTCATGATTCACATAGAAATTATGAAGTATGTAGTTAAGTTGTTTATGGTACTTGGTTATTAAATTTTAATCCATTTAATTCCTACTTCAAACCACTCGTAAATGATTCAATAAGCTTAGTAATATAGTTAAATATTCTTCCGAATCAAATAAATTATAACCACTGACCAAATCCTCCACAATTCATAGGTAAATTTTATTCATTTTTATTTTTATTGTAGAGTATTATAGAGAGTGCTTTATACATCATTTCAATATTAATGAATACTGACAATATGATATTTTAATTACTTTTAATAAATTGTACTAACCTAAAATATTTCCATTTTATTGTGTACCTCATAATCCATGTGTAATCAACACTGACAATGTATTTGTACATTTATATTCTTTTGATTCAAATAAACTGAAAGCAATGTATTTTTTATATTTAAATTGTCATTAACGTCGTCATTCTTATCATCATCACAGCCTAGAAGAGATATGTGATTATTTTACGAGTGCAACCGACTATTTACAGACTAATCAATCATTAATGATATTTGAAATATCTACATCTTTCTTTTTTTTCTAAAACAAAAGAAATACTTGGTCGTAATTTTTTTTATGAAATTATTATTGCGCCACTAATTTGGGTTTCATTTTCTAAAATAGTGGTCATTATAATTCATTGTGTAAACTGGTCATTTGCATTAATGAAACTCTTAAATAACACCAAAAAAGTGTAATATACTTATTTATTGGGCTAATAAATCGTAGTTTTAATTTGATGGAATACATTGTCCTCTGTCATTGTTATTTGTTACATTAGGGAAATTCGTAATCGCTGAAAAATTCTCATTGTATTAAAACACAATTGTATGAACGAAAAATATTGTAGTCCTTTGAATTGATCTGCTTAACTTAATTCTTAGCATTTCACTCGGCGCATCGCCTCTGAATTGTAAGCGTATATAAAGAGGCTTTTTATTTACAGTTAGGCATTCTCTATGCTGTCTTTTATTGGCTATGTTTTTATTAATAAATTTCTCGGGATATCCATTTTCCTTCAGGGTTATGTATAACGCCTATGTTTCATCTTCAATAGCAATGATTGTTTAGAAAATTTCTTAGTGTTTTGTATACCGTTTACGCTCAGCTACTGCCTCTTTTTAGCGTTCTATTCAAGTTATTGTAGGACTAAGTCCATCGAAGATATAGCATCAGTTCACAGACCTACTAATTGTCGGTGTGTATCTTATGGGAAAACGAGTACTGTTTCAGACAATTGTTCAAAGTAGGTTATGTCGGTGCACATACATTCCTTCTTGATATTTATCCGAATCTTTTATTGAGCAGATATAAACAGAATAATTCAAATTTCATCTCAGTCTTGAGTATTTTGAAGTTTACCATTAATCTTATGATGTTGACAATATCACTGATAACCTTCATATTATATTCTTCATTTGTAGAATGTGTTTCGTCTTTGACAAATATTCTTGACATTTTAGTTATTATATACGCTGATATAGTGTTCTCTTATCTTTCCTATTTCACAACCGAAATAAGCTTAGCAAAGAATGTGAGAACTTTCATACTGAATTTGTTCATCTAAGTAGGATTACTTTATGTTAATAGATATCGGAATTTTGTTCTGCCATAGGCGTAACTCTTCATTGAAATAATTAATTACTAACTTTACCAGAATTTGTAATTTATGAGAAACACGAAATAGCTTTAGATAATAAATCCCTCATCATTTACTCACACACGTATTTCTCATAAACATTTGCTTAACAAGCAATACGCGTTAAATAATACTACATTGAAAAGTGAACAATAGTAAAACCTATCAATGTTACGATTGTTTTACTACAAAAGATTCGGTTTGGCTTGAAATAGTTTTTAGACATAAAGAATGTTCAACTTTTATGCTTGCTACATTGCTTTATGAACATTTAAAAAGAATTATTCTTAGCAACTCTTATTAATACGTTTGCTTGATTCGACCTGGATAATCACTCATTTTAGTGGTATGTCCTGCAATAATTATCAGTCAGATGACTAAATTTTTTGATTATCTGGATATTGTTATACAGCTTTGTGTATCAGCAACCACTCTTACGTGTATATCACAATACTGGGATGTATCGATACTACATAACTTAAAGAAACGAAGACATTATGATAATGTTTAATAATTTATATATTTACATTAAACACATCACTTTTTAAACTTAGAAAAAGTGAGATATAATAAAGGAAAATGTTTAAAATAACAATATGGTCCATTTTTATTCAATTTAGTCATTTTCTTTTTTCATATGATTGTATAACAATTATCCATAATGTAGTCAAAAACTTTGTGTTATGTGCTATCATCGTGGATAATGAAAAATTGAATAGGCTAAATCTTGTTTAAAATATTGTTCATTCTTAACATTTCAGCATTAAATACTTTTGCATCCACGGCTATAATATCGTTTTGTACTTTCGTAAGCATTTATTGCTTCAAGTCATTTTAAGGGTTCTCATCCTCCCGTTTGTAGATACTAAGGACTGGAATAGATTAGTCTCTTAGCATATGCCTATCGTGAATGAATTACCTTAATATTGTTATCAAGTCACAAGCATTTTAAAGCAAAGTTTGATAGTGGCTAACCGTAGACTCTAGGAATCGCCTTTCATCTTATCTGGAACTCATTAGCTGTATGTCACTTTATCCCAGTGTTGATGTTCGCACTGTAACTCAAATCCATTGTATTTTACGCCAAAAAATCAACTAATTACCACTTATCTGAACCTTATAGCTAAGTAGATAACACGTTTGGTGTGTGAAGCGAAAAGCATTGATTTAAAGTCACAGTGTGAGCATCACTGGACTCCATATATATCCTATTGATAAGTCTCAACTGAAACGTAATACAAGTCCTACATCCCACTGCTAGTCACTGTCATTTGTCTTAAAAATTTCTGCTGCACTTTGTACCATCAAATATTTTAGTTGTGGGATCATTTTCTGGTTTACGTTTCAAGGTTTCGGATATGTGTACCATAATCGTTTTAATGGTTCATTTCACTGACAAAATGGATGATATGACTATTGATAATATGCTTGCCAAATTCTAGCTGAACATTCTTCGGAAGATACTGTCTCTGGTCAATCGAATTAATTTTTTAGAGAAATAAAATTACCATTTCTTCACAAAATATTCACTTTATAAAGCGTCAACTAATTGATAGAAAATTGTTCCTAAATAATGAAAATAAAGGTTACAGTTGAACCAGTGACTATTCACTTTTCTCTATGATTTTAACTTCAATTGTGTTGTTTTTATTATCGACTTTAAAAGAGACAAATACACTATGAAACTATGGTGAATCATATCTTGATGATGTTACAAATATATATATGGAACTCATCACTAGGATATTTGATGTTCTGTTTCAAAATTTACGAAAAACACTTATTTTAGTTATTTATTTACTCTGATAATGTCAGGAAATGTCAGAAATTCAAATGTCTACTTAGCGGAATACCAAGAATATATCACCTTATTATTTGTAATTTTTATGTTTAAAAGTTTAGATGTGTATATAAATACCATGTTTTAAATAGAACTTTAAGTGATGAAAGTGGTGTTTTTTAAAATTTTGTATTTATCCAAAAAAGTAATTATTCGTTAGTGAATGAAATTTCTTGTAAGTTCGTCAAAGTGTTGTTCATTCGTTGGTTTAATATTGTTATATTTCTGACAGACTAATATGACAGTAATAATTGTAAAAACATCTAGATTCCAGAATTGTCATGTAATGGGGTTGGTTTTTTGTGTAATAATGATAAGATCTTTTTCTTTGGTGTTGAAAATAAATCTGGAGGATGGTTTACTGATTTTTAAGTGATTTCCTTAGATAATTGACATCATCTAAATAAGCATTAGATACTGAGAAGTAATGAATAACTTTTATATCGTAACGATTATTATACTGTGGGACTATAAAGTAGAATTGTAGTACGTTACATTTTCTGTTTAGCATGTAGTGTTGTGAACGACAACACCAGTGGGGACAATCGAATATATTTGAACACAAAATTACAGAATCGCTTAGTAAAATTTGAGAACCATACAAAAATATTTCATTTGCAAAATGTCCCAGACTTGATTGTTACTTCGTTTCCACACCAATCATTCTCTGGTAAAGTAGAAAACAACACTCCATTTCATTGGTTTGTGAGACAGAAAATTAGATACTCCATATCTTGATTCCTGGTACTATGTGGTCGAAACGACCTCAGTGTATAATCTATTCTGTTATTAAACTAGTCAATCAGTATCATTTAATCGCTTTTCATTATGTTATTTAATAATTGCTTTTACTAATCATTTTCTGTACTACTTATCAGACCTTAACTAGGAATTTTACAAGTTTACCTACTTCTTTTAGTTTCAACCAATGTAGTTGTTTGATCCTGTTCCCCACTAATTTGTAGTCGTCAGTGTTTAAGCATGTATTACGTCATTGCAATCTACGGGATGTCCATAATTTCACTGACTGTATTACCTTGTTTGCTTCTTTCTGCTCATTCACCATTTTTATTACTGTTATTAAGTATTTGTAATCTTCATATATTGTTGTTATGTCTTACAAGCAAATATTAGGCATAAATTCTATGACATATTTTACCAGTGTAAATTAGCCAGAGCTAAACTATTATGTTTCGCTGTTCCTGAGAATTTTACTACTTTCAATGGGTAACTAAGTAATCATACTAGTATTAATGATTCACAATGATTAACCTTAGTATACATATTATTTTTACCACGAAAAGCTAAATTTTTTTATGGGACAATTCAAAATAATAACTTCAAGGGATTTTGTGTCAGCAAATTTTCGCATTTGTCTCAGAGTTATTGGATAAAAAAGTAACCTAAGAAATTGTTTGTACAAATAAAAAGTTCTATCCCATTTCTAGTCATGTTGCTATTGATGATTGCACTCTTTGATTTGTTTCTTTCAGCTGAGTTTTGTCTTATCAAATGTAATTTTGACCTCTCTCTCTTATTCAGTGTTTTTGATGCATAGAAAAGATGAATTTTCTGTCTATTAATTGTCTGTTTGTCAATTTTCCAAATAATAATTCATTTTGTTTACCAAATATTGTTTCTTTTTTAATGAAACGTAAATTATTTTCATCTTCACCCCGCTGTCAATCATCGTGATGTGGCAGATTTACTTAACTGTTTATTTCAAATTTTTCAATTATCACAGAATCTTGTTTCTACAATATGGTGGTGTACTAGATTTTTTTTACCATACACCATCCGCACTATCGGATAAATTTCATATGTGTACATATTGTTAATCTGTTCTTAAGATATTTATTGTTCATTGAAATCTGTCGTATTGATTAATTTGTACCATCTTTTTTACATCACTGTCTGATGGAATTTATAGAAATTCACAAATGAATACCGTTTGGTCTTGCTTGACGTCATTGGTGCTTTTTACTTTCCCTTCAGTGGTTTTCTTGATTTTAACTTTTCATCTTTTTTAGTTCCACTTGAATGTAGAGTGATGGGTTAGTGACCATGTGCTTGATTTTCAGTCTAATTGTTAGTTATAGTTTCAAACGTCACTTAGTCATTTCTACTCGCATTCGTATCATAATGTTTGGTAAAGTTTTGTCACGTACGGTTGTAGAATCCACAAATGTCTTGATATGGTCGAGGGTGTAAACGGTCTTCTCGTAGTGCTTGCATACTGTATTGTTTTTAGAGCCTCTGTCAGGAACTTCCTACTGACCTAGAGTGGATAGGAGAACGAATAATGAACGTCCTGTGTTTAAACTTATATAGTGTATACGAAGAGTCAAGCTGCATAAGTTGGAAAACTGATTCCGAACCAATGATATACATAGCTTTCAGAATCCTAAAACAACGAGTGACTTATAAAATCATTCATGGTCACCGGTTACCATAGGATAACAGCGCATGACTTTCCTTTTCTACCATATGGTTTAGATCCCTAGATCAGAGGCTTAGGAAGTTGTTTCCTAAGAAAACCACGTACTGTGATTCGGGAACCTGGCAATATTCTAGTCAACATATAAATTTTATGTAGGGCATTCTATTTTTGGTACCTAGTTGTCCGAAATTTCCTGTGAAATAAATAAATTGTCCCACAGCTTAATATACCAATGTGTGTTCCCTTATTTATTATTATTTTGGTTGCATACTGTGGCAATAGAAGGATATATATATATATATATATATATATATATATATATATATATATAAGTTCAAGATTTGATAACACATATATATTTCCCGATCCATAATATCTTAGTGTTATTTAACATTTTTCTATTTGCAGTGATGACATTATTCATTCTTGATATGTGAAGTAAGACAACTATTTCTTTTTTTTTAACATTCATCTACTTGCACACACACACCAATGGATTATTAATACTGAATGCTAATATGGTTTCACTTGCTTTCAAATACTTTATCTAATTCTTTTGTCCATGGTATTCTTTTCTTAGGTATTATCTATATTTATGTTAATACATTTATTTTTATATTTAATTGAAAAAAGAGTATAATATTCTACAAATATAAACATTAATTAAATATATAGAAAAGAGAATTGGAAACGGAACTTCACCCTATTTGTCTTTCTTCTAACCTACTTTAACCAATCTATCATATATGCTGCATCTGTTAATTTTTCACTTTTTCACGGTAATGATCTTCAGAATTTTGCATTGTTTTACTGTGAAATTAGTATTTCCTTTCATTTCTATTGATGTATTGTCTTTTGTTTCTACATATTATCATAAATTAAATTGAACTATAGTGAATTATGTACAGGGTGAATAAGTGTCGACAATTTCTTCTTATTGTTATTATTATAAAAGTACACGCGTAAATAGTGGTGATATACGGAACATTTTTTGACCTGTGCACTCTAATGATTAAATGTGTATGTATGCGTGATCTGGTATAATAGATCATCTTGTTTCTTTTTTCTTCGGTTTAATTGATTGAATTGTTTGCCGTCTCTAATATTTTGGGGTTGTGATAACTGTATAGAAAATTGTATGCATTATTCCTCTACTCAACTACCATTATAAAATGTTCGTGACTGTGACGATTCGATAGAATACCTATACTCTTAATAAATAATTATTATCAGGTATTTATTAATTTAACCAAATGTGATATTACTTTTTATTATCGATTAACATTATCAAAATGATTGTACTTTTTTCTCTTTCACAGTTTGAGTTATTTCAATAATCACTTGTAATTGTTTGATTGTTATCAAACCCTACAATAATTTTTTTAAAAATATTTATTTGCCTTTTGTTACTGCTTAAGTGCACGTCACTCTCTCATGCAGTTTAATTCGCTTATCTTTAATAAATGTCTATATGTATGCATATTGGTTTGAATAAATATAAATGATTGGTTCCATTGACTGCGATAATTCTCTTCAATTTCTATTGCTTTTATACGTGCAATTTGTTTTATTATTATATATAAAGGCAATAATTATTATGTTTTCTAATTTATTCCTGTTTATCCATTTATTGGTGAATTCATAATTTACAGAATAATGTTTTATCGGCTGTTGAATCATTCCATGCTGTACAAATAGAAGAAGTGAATAATTTACCATTAATTAACAAAATCAATAATGAGGATGTTGATACTGTTACTAATCAAGAGACTATTCAGTTACTATTGGAAAAACTTAAAGCACAAGAAGAACTATTCAATGAACAAAAAGATCAATTGGTTAATATTCAATTACAAACTATAGCACTGAATCAAGATAAAGAGAATGTATGTTAATTAAATTTTATAGTTTAGTGTATGTTAATATACATTTCTTGTTGTTGCAAATAATTGGTATTCAATGTGTATACCGTTTCTTAACGAATATGTCCTAGTCAAATTAGACATCATAATAATTTGAATTTAATACTGATCAATTGATAGTTTCTCGACCTGTTCGATGTGTACATTGAATTCATCTGTAGTACGAATATATGTTTTGCATTTTTTGCGTATCATTAAACTGTTATTAATAACAAATCTACACAAGAATAAGGGATGGAGATTTATTGTAATCATTATACGCAATTTAGCTACAATGTAGTAGTTCTTATAACACCTCTATACAATGTGTTTTTGTTTGGCCAATTAAAGGGGTCATTTTGATCTGAAGGAATAGTGGTTTGTGACTACGTATCAGAGTTCCTTTCCTTATATTTGTCCTTTACTTACTCTATTATTCCTCTAATTCTGTTGTTATTTTGATTACTATCTGGTTTCCTTTATGTTCTCTTCAATTCAAACTTCTGCTGCCAGGTATTCCAGTTCCGATTGAAGCTACATACTACTTTTATCTGTCAACATATGTAGCATACACCACATTAGTATGGCTTCATATAAATGCGCCAAGCTAGTGAATATGCATAGTCGATTAGAATTTGTTTCAATGGAGTTCGATGTGATACTATATAAGTACTTTCTAATGATTATTTTCAATAATTTTTTTTAAAAGAAAGCAATTTTAATTGTTATGTATATGGAAGTTAAAGACGTGGTACAGTTGTTTACAAATATATTAAAATATTGTAAGAGAGGATGATTTTAAAATATTTTCAGGTTGATATAAATAGTTACAGTTTTTAGATCTACTTTTTTATCATCATCTGTAAGATACACACTTAAATACACGTACACATACTTTCTAATCTTAATCGAATGTAAAGTTTATTTTTGTCTCACTATTTCCTAATAAATCACTCAAACAAAACAAAATCATAGTTTAAATTACAAATTAACTGTAGCTAGATATTCATGAAAACCGGGTTAAGGTCTCTCACAATGTTGCGAATTTGCAGTGTTGGTTTTCACTAATTGTCTAGCTACAGTCAGTTGATGTAAAGCTTCAAAATTCCCAAATCTTTACAAGCCTCTTTATACTTAGAAACAAAGATTGAGTTATGTTGTGACATGTATTTAGTTGATCGCCTTTACATAAATACATTAATCCTCAAAAAATGTTTTTATTTATTTCAGTCTAACAATAAACTTAATGAGGTTGAAAATTATTTAAATAAATTAAAAATAGAATTAAATGAATCTAGAATAAAACAAGAAGAATTACTTACTGAATTAAATAGTGCCCATTTGAAACGTGATCAATTAGTTGAAGACATTTCTAAAGTTCTAGGTGATTTATCTATAACTGAAAATGCAGAGAATTTATCAACAATTTTATGTAACCGTATTAATGATTTAAAAGAACAAATGTAAGTTCAATTTAGATCAAACTTTGATCTATTAAATTTAATGTTGTGTATGTTTTTTGTTGCAAAGAGTTCATTTGATGTGGATCCGAATTTATTTTTTGTCTTTTTTCGATAAAGTCTACCTGTTAGTGGAATATCGCAATTTTCTTTTGATTAAGTTCAGTTTGTCAGGTTAGGATCATATCCTAGTTTAGCGGTTTATAGGAGATTAGTTTCAGTGATCAGAGTACTGGTCTTGTAAACCAGGGGTCGGGAGTTCGATCCTCCCTGGGGGCAGCAGCTTTGCCCCCAAACGCCCTGGTACGGCCGAGAGTGGGAAGAGTCCGCTCTCCCTTTCGAAATGCTTTCACATGGCCATGCGTATATAGCCTCTGTCAGGGAAGTCCTACTCACTGCCTTCTCGTGGCATTACTGTTGTTTACGAAAATGAGAGGGCGAAAAGCGAATGTTTGGCGCTTTAACCGGATCCCAAACCAATGGTGCACATGGGCTCCAGTATCCTGACGGAAAAAAATGGCGTATGAACCAATCGTTGGTCACCGGCTACCATGGGACTGGATCTCCTTATGATGCTCCACTGCCTTGTGGGTCAGACCTTTAGATCGAAGGCTCGGGGTGTGGCCCCCTTAAGAAAACCACCTGCTTCGGTTCCGGCACCCAGGCAGTATCACAACCCTCACACAAATCAATTGAGATTGGTGTGGCGCATATTTATTTGGTGCCTCCTTGTACCTATACCTATGTGTTAAAATAAATAATAAATAAATAAGTAGTTTCAGTTAAAGATAGATCACTCTAGTCATGGGTTAATATCATTTAATACACCATTTAAAACAAAAGGTATACTAAACAATGTGAATACTGCTACAATCGTATACTCGACAAAATTTCTATTACTTCAAACCCCAATATCAACATATTTTTTCTAAAATCCCTAATTATGTTAATGTTTTTTTTTCATTTTGCTTAAAGCTTGAAACGCTTAGGCCTTCAGTTTTTTAAATATAATATTGTCAGATAGGTCAAGTTAGCTTTAATTGTACCAAAAGTATATTTTTGTTAATTATAATGAAATCTTTCACGGTTCGTGTTTTTCGTCATATGTATTTCTTTAGTCATAGCTGTCCATTTTTGTCGCTTAAGAAATTTATTGAAATAATATATTTTGTGTAGTTACAATTATTTGCTTTAATGTTCTTCTTTAGGACTGTTTAGTTAGATTTCTACAGATACTTGTCAGAAAAATTGGATATTTTTTGGTTGTTCAACAAAATATGTCAGTCAGTCAGTCATTAACAACGTGGAACTTCGTACGTACGTACATCAGTTCGAGTTGCCATACCACATTAGCACAGAGATTCAGTTATTGATTCAAATCCCGTAGTGGAAGAGGTAGTGATAGGGAACATTAGGGTTTGATGATGTATTTAAGAAGTATAGTCCAGTGGAATAGATTTGGAAAGAAAATAAAGGACATGAAGAATACAGAAGATTAGAGTTTGAGAGAACACAGAGAGTGGATGCACCTGCGCCATTGCAAACGATTTTGTGTCATGTCATTCAAGGTCTCTAAACATCGGTTGTTATCGTCTCGCAGACCCCAACCAGGTAGTCTACACCTACCAACATGGCTCAGTCCACTTGTCAGTGACTTCATGGATTTGTGCCATGTTTTGGTCTGGCCGCCCCTAGCTTTCTTCCAACCTATTCCTACACCAGAAAACATAGCACGTCAGGGCAGTCGGTGATCGGGCATGCGCAACACATGTCCCAGCCATCTCAACTGATTAAGTTTCATAACTTCATCAATTGATTTGCCATCCTTACCTAGTACCCGTTTCATAACAACTGCATTACTTACTCGGTGGTCCCAGGATATACGAGCAATGTTTCGAAGACACCTATGATCAAACACTAGTAACCTACGAATATCCTCTACTCTTACTGGCCATGTTTCACTGCCATAAAGTAGGACGGAACGAACTGCTGTGCAGTAAACACGTCCTTTGGTTGATAGACGGATATCTCGCCTACGCCACGAATGACGCAAGTTGGCAAAATCTAGTCGAGCCTTCTGTATCCGTACTGAGATTTCGTCACACACCAGACCTCAAGGGCTGATGAGATTCCCAAGATAAGTGAAGCAGTCGACACGCTCAACTACTTCACTCCCTATCACTAGTTCGGGTGTCGACGCAACCCAATCCTGAAGCAACATTTTGCATTTCGAGGGAGAAAATCGCATGCCAAACATGCCTGCATTGTTGCTTAGAGTGGTCAGCAGACTGCATTTTTTCAGCGTCTTCACCAAATAGAACTATGTCATGGGCATATTCTAAGTCAACAAGTGTATCTCCTGGTAGAAGTTCAACTCCTAGAAATTTAGATGAGGGAAGTGTCATCTCTAAAAGGACGTCAACAACAAAGTTAAACAAGAATGGAGAGAGTGGACAGCCCTGACAAACACCACTTGAGGTAATCAGTTCTGATGACAGTTCGCCATAAGCTCTCACTCGACCAGTTGTGTTCGAGTGGAGAGCCTTTATAAGGTTAATGTACTTCTTTGGTACTCCTTTCAGTGACAAACACTGCCATAGAACCTCACGATCAACAGAGTCAAATGCCGCCTTAAGGTCGAGAAATACTATTATTGTGTAGCGTCTGAATGTGTGTCTATGTTCTAGGATCTGACGTAGTGTGAATATGTACTTTCTATATAATACCAAATAATTCATTATGTACTTCTCATGGTCAATCTTTCTAGTAGTAATACATTAATTCATCCAGTGTTCATTTGTTTATTATTTTTTTAGTTACTGATTATTGTAACAGTGAAATATGTTAGAGCGTTTCTAAATTAAGCTGTTTATCCGATAGCTCAAGGTTTGTGTACTGTGATTCATAACTTGCTTGGTTTTAGAATAGTTTCAGTTTACGATCCAGTCAGTCAAAGTACTATACTGCAACTACTCATAAATGATGAGGTAAAACTATGCTTCTACAACATATTACTGTAAATATTGGGCAATATATTAAACTTCATAGTAACGATATAATGAGTATGTAGAGAAATAACTCATACAGCCGGTTATCGATATTGATAGCTTGGTAGTTAAGATGTTTGACTTTCAGTTACTATGTTGCACGTTCGAATTCCATTCCGCCAATTTTGGTATGAACACTCAGGTAGTATCACTTGCTCTCAAATTTAAAGTTTGGTTCGAGGCTTAAATCTGTACCTGAGTTAATCATGAAACCAAAATATCTTGAATTTATTCGTCTTATTCAGGATTCAATTATCATTAGTTAACTAATTTGATAGAATATGATAATTGACATGAATTTATATTCCTTCTTTCACTTTATTTCGATCAGATCCGGACATGAAAAAGTTCGTCAAGACTTAGAAAAATATTGTCAAACACTAGAAAGTGAACGTAATGATCTTGAGAGTGAGCTGACAAGAGTCAATGTGACTTTGAAAAATTCCAGTGAAGTAAGTTGTTTGTATATTCAAGCTAACAGGATCAATATTTCGTCCAGGTTTATCATTTTGTTTTAATACATAATTTGAAATAATATTTATTTCACATTTTAGTAGTCTCCCCTAAGTATTACGTGTAACAACCCTTCTATTTTACCAATACAAAAAATGCTTGAGTATTGATATATATGTATTAATTTGGGTTTTCTTATTTTTACTCCCTTGAGGGGGTTTTCATATTCTAATCTAATGAGTGCCATTTTAAAAAGTTCGTCTCGTAATTTTCCCTATGTAATTTATTTTTGGAAGACTACTACATTTTTCTAGTGTTTTTACTACTTGTTTCTTTTAAGTAGCTGAAATTTATTTACATTAACTTTCGTTTTTTGTCGATAAAACAATAAGTACGTTCATATTTATTTATTTTATTTGAACACATAAATATCGGTTAAAAGGGGCACCGAATACATTTACTTGATTTGTGAGTGGGCTGTGATACTACCCGGGTGTCCAGACCAAAGCAGGTGGTTTTCTAAGCGGGCCACACCCGAGACCTTCGACCAAAAGGTCTGATCCGCAAGACAGTGGAGTAACGTAAGGAGGTACAATCCCATGGCAGCCGGTGACCGATAATTGGTTCATATGCCATTTTTTACTTCGGGATCCTGGAGCCCATGTACACCATTGGTTTGAAATCAGGGTTTTCTAACTACCCTAGTTGGATCCTCCACCAACCCGGTTAAAACGCCGGATATTCGCTTTTCGTTTTCTCAATTTCCTAAACAACACCCCCGCTGCGGGGAGGCAGTGATTAGGACTTATCTGCCAGTGGCTGTATACGCGTGGCCAGGCGAGAGCGTTTTGATACGAAGATCTGACTCTCCCCACCCTCGGCCATACCAGGGCGTTTAGGAGCTCAACAAGTACGTATCGTTCATCAACTCCCAAGCATAATGTAATATGTCCGTTTTAATTGAATATCTTGTATCAGTTGTAATATCTATGTTTCTGTGAATATGACTTAGGTTTTGAAAAGGACTGAATGATATATAATGTTCTCAATCATTAAGATCATGAGTCAGTTGAAGCTAGACCACCATGGAAAACCTGGAAGCACTGGACGGCCGTTTCGTCCTATTGTGGGACTCCTCAGCAGTGCGCATCCACGACCTCGCCCCCTGCGAGATTCGAACCCAGTGACTGGCTTCAAGAGGTATATCCTGGAGTTCTAGCGAGAAGTAGTGACCAGTGGAGTTCAACCAGGTGTGTTGTGGGATAGAAACTCACTGAAGACAGTGATGGATGTGTCGCTCAATTTCGTGGATTAGTTGAAGTTAGACATGAACACCGTTGGATGCCGACTCAGTGATCTAGTGGTTAAGTGCTCACGCGCGAAACCAGTAGGTTCTGGGTTCTGTCCTAATATGAGACTTCTCAAGAGTACTCATCCGGGAATCTAACCCAGTACCTCAGGTCTCGTATATGAACGTTCAGTTTCTTGATTATTGTGTAATTTTAATCACTTCACGTTGTTGCGCGGCTATCTTTCATTGCTTTCTGTGGATAACTGTCTCACAACCAACACGGTCAAACTCTACTGGTCACAGCTTCCTAGTAGAACACCAAGAATTGCATCTTGAAGCTGCTCACTAATCAGCACATTATATATTAGTGTAGAGCCGTGATGCAAGACTAACTGAATGGAATTATTTCTTTACTTTATTCGCCTTTTTCCTTATTGTCTCAATGGGAATCCATGTTTTACTAGAATTTATGTATGACAACTGTCTTATGTTATTTCTAGAAATAAAAAGTAAATACTACTTATAAAACAAAGCCAACAACTTTTATTTCAGTTCTAAAGGAATGATATTAAAATAGTCTTTTCGACTTGATTATCTTAAACCATGGGATTTTAACTATTTACGAAGATATTCAGACAACATTCGAGCTGTTCTATTTGTACCCTTATTGATTTGATTGTTGATTCATTTTTGACCAGATACAAATGGATAATTCAACCTTGAAAGAAGAACTTGATAATGCACGACAAAAGTAAGTTTAATTTGTATGTGAATGTGCTTGTGAAATGTGTTCATGCTTTAATATAATAATCATTAAGTACATGTAAAAAGATCTGAAGGTCTTAAGATCGGTCCTAATGGGGTCGTGGATGAGTACTGTCATAAAGTCCCATATTAAACTATTCAGTGCCTTGTGCTTTTTAGGGGTTGTCTAGTCAACATCAGTCCTTAGTGTAAACTGTAATATCCAACAATCTCTACATTATCTTATAATAAAGAAACAGAACAACTGTTTTCTGAAGAAATATGTACATCACAGTTAAATGAACATTGTCATTGGTATCTATTAGTCGATCAATAATTAAATGGTATTCTATTATTATTATTTTATTTTCTATTTTGTGTAACTTTCTATTGTTATCCATTGTTTGCTCAGTATTTGTCTGTTAGGCTCATAACGTTTATACCTTGATGATATGTATCATTTTTATTAATGGAAAAATCCACAAGACAGTTAATTATTGCTCATCGCAAATCTTTGTGTCTAGAATGTAACTCGAAGTTGAATACAGGAATTTGTTTTTTTCTAGTAAATGATTTACATCAACAATAAATTTACTTCATTGATCGGATAATTAGTTGACAAACAATTGTTGAATTTTTTTCGATATAACCTAGATACTATTTCGTCACAAAATAACTAATGTATAACGTTCTTTTTATCCTATAAAATCAAAGATATTCTTTTTTCTCAAATTGTTATTCATTTACATTTTGATACAGGATGTTTTCATTAGAGAAAAGTGCTTCTAATGCATTTAGTCAACTTGAAATCAAATCGAATGAATTACAAACCATTCAATCACAGCTGGATAAAGTTTTAAATGAAGTACGCCATTTTTATATTTTTTCTTATCTGTGAATAATTCCAAATTGTTTCTGTATGTAGTTGTATGTTTTTCTTTTTGAGAAGAAACGTCATTTTTATTTATTTACAAATAACTAATAAATACACTTCCCAATATTGTAGGTCATTATCAAGTATATAGGACTGAATATGATAGTCAGACAAAAAATTTTTAATAATAACCCCTGGATGAAGAAGAAAACGTCTAAATTTTCAAACACTTCTATTCCAGTTATTTATTTGGTACACATAGTTCAAGAAAGTCCGGAATCCTCTGTTTAACTTAAAGTCGATACTCCCAAACCTTCGAGATTGTTGGATGTTGATCTCACGCCATAGGACTTTTGTATATTGGAGGATTAACATTGCATATTAAAGTAGAACATTCGAGACATCTCTTTCGTTCATTAATACTAATTAGTACTTCATTTAAGTGTTCTTCTTCCGATCACAGTGAAGTCATAGGTACACTAACTTGTTTTATATGTAGCATCTGAAGTCACATTTTATATCATCTGAGTAAAAATTAAGGTCGTTCAGTTTTATGTCATTAGCTCAAATTTCACACATTCATCCCAGATGTTAATTAAAACATTAGCAGACGTATTATAGTGTAATAAGATGAAAATTATCACTACAGTGTGATATGTTAGCGCAACTCGAACTGATATACGTACGTACGAAGTTCCACGTTGTTACTGACTGACTGACTGAAATCATTTTGAATAATCTGATAACATATATACTTGTTAAGAACATTTATATATGGAAAAATAAAAGGTCAACTACATAAATGGAAGGTGAAGATAAGATGAAGAAGGGTCATAAAAAATGATGTAAAAACAATGGGAAATGCCATCCTGGATAATATAGCAATATTACCAGGGTGAGTTTGGAGTGAGAACAAACTGTTTTTTTTTAAATACGTAAATGGGGTTATTATTCAAAAGTGTTGCGCTAATATATCATATTGTAGTGATAATTTTCCTCTTATTACGAATGATACTTAGAAATGGATACAGCCTTCGCTGAGTGAAGAAAAAGCTATAATAAAATATCAACTACTAATTAGTAATATAAAAAAGCTAAACTTATTTCTACTAAATTCACTTTCAATCAAGGATTCTTTCAAATTTATTTATGCCTTTGCCATATTCAGATGGCTCGTATTGACCACCAGTATTTCGATATGCAGTTTTATACTTTTGGTACAGAACGATAACAAATGTGTTCATATTGTTCTGTTAAAATCTTTGTTTTTGCTCTTTTGAAAAAATAATTAAAAGGAGCTCTATATATAAAACGGTTAGATCATTTGAATATTATTCGTAAATTACGTTTACAGTACTCTATTATACACTGCAATATACCTATCATATTTCATAACAGGAGTCTCATAACAAGTAGCACTTAAAATACACTTTTACCTAATCACCGAACGTTTTGCAGACATGTGGTTGTATTTCTCTTAATTTTTATTTGATTGCCGTTTCATTTTGTGTATAAGTGTTCTGATCATCTTTTACATTATTCACTCTTTATATAATTCATACACTGACATCATTTCTTTCTATCGACTTCTTTCTACCTCCCGTATTTTATCAGCAAATGGAGCTTGAAAAAGTACACAACCATACCATAACAGCTTTAGAATCTGAGAAACAAGTATTGTTGGAGCGTATTAAAGAGGCAGAAAATCGTTTGCTTGAAAACCAAACAAATTCGTCAACTGAGCTTAGTAAGATCGTATCTATTTATAATATGAGTGTTTTTGTAGAATGATTGATAAAGTTTGATTATTCAAGTATAATTTTTGAGTTTTTCCCATAAAATATGTTTCTAATCGACAATTTACAAAGAAATGTTAGTAACATATGAGTTGACACAGAAGACAGAGAAGAGAAACGAAATACCAAGTTTAACGTGGTGGTTAAATGCTCATAGTGATTTCACTAGATCTATTATTGAATAGAAAAATGAATGGTAATTACTGATTCCAACAAAATTAATTCTGTTCGCATTGTTTTTAATTTAACAAAAGGTAAACCGATTATTTTTTGGTGAATATATATTGAAGTATAAGATAGTCGTTGGTATCTGGTTTGCGACGGAAATTTCAGTACCTATCACTTCGAATATGGTTGATTACTAAGAATTTCGGTTCTTTTTTTCAAACGACCAATACTGCATCATTTTGATATTGACCTAATATTTGTAAATTGTAGTTTGGGTTAAATTATCCCCATTTATGAGACAATACAATCATTCGATATATATTTGTATATTTGTGATAAATACTAAATAGTTGTCTCATAATCACTAAACAATGTTACCTGTAACACTAACTTGTTTATAAATTAAACGAATAAACAGCGAAAGATGAACCACTGCATAGATCAGACACAGTTTTTCATAAAATGTAAGGAGAGACAGGATAGTATCTAAGTTGAAGTAGTTTGATAAATTTTTTTTACTAGAATGCATCATGCTCGTATAAAAAACCTATGGGAAAAATGACGAAACTGTCAAATGAAATATTGATACAAAATAAGTGCACTCATCAGGATTCATAACTACTACTGTCAAGAGCGTTTTCAGTTTCGGTAAATAGAAAAGATATCTACACCACCCTCCGATTGGCAATTTATTCGGTCACCATTAAATTGGAACATATAAACATTGGTACAAGGGAGCTATCAAATGCATATGCACCACACAACAAAAATGAGGCCATTAGTAGTTATCATTGATTTGTATGGGGATTGGAATACTACCCAGGTCCCCAAACTGAAGCAGGTGGTTCTCTTAGGGAGTGACGCTCCGAGTCTTTAACCTAAATGTATAATCCTTATGGCGGTGGAGCAACGTCAGGAGATGTAGTTCCATCGTAGTTGGTGACCACTGATAGATTCATACACCTTTTGTTTGTTCAGGATCCTGGATCCTATGTACACCATTGGTTTGGAACTGGAGTTTTATAAATCCCCTAGGTGGGACCTCCATATCCTCTAAATTTCGAAAACAGCACCCCATCACGAGAAAGCAGTGAGTAGAATTTCCCTGGAAGTGGCTGTATACACGTGGTTATGTGAGAACATTTGGGGGTTTAAATCGACGTTGAGTAGGACCAAATTGCACAACTCAGTTTTTTATCATCAAAAAAAAACAACATTAAAGCGACTTGCAAATAATCATGTCACATTCACTTATATGTCTGTAGATTCAATTGTATGGAATGAATTAAGTTTTATATGTATTTACAGACGTTTAAAAGACTACTGATGTTGATAACACTTAATACAAATAAATTCCACTAGTTCAATGACAGAAAAATTTTCTCCCTTGTATTTGAACGTATATTACAAATCTGAATATATTCATGATGGTATTGTAATGATTAATTTATAATTTATTATGAGTATATTACTATTGAACAATTCAATTTTCCAATATTTATTTATTCAAAAATATTTTAAATTTACATGAAACTTACCATGATCATATTAATTTTAATTACTTTTATATCAATAGTTATGTGAATCATGTCTGATTATCCCTATACTTATTATATTCTTATTTATCTAGTTTATATAGAGATATATATCTTCTTAAGTTATGATCAATTCTCTGTTCAAAAGTGTATATTACGCGCCAATTTAATTAAAAGCTTTTAATAAACATCAAAGAGATTAACTATTATTATTTTTTTAAATAGTATAAATTTTAATTAGTTACATATTCAAATGAAGAATACATTTTGAAATAAAATAAAACAAAACAAAAACAATATCATAATATTATGCTTAGATTTATAAATAATTATTAGTTGCTTACTTATTTAAAATTAATCATTAATATATGATTATTGTAGTTATAGGAATTGTTTCATTTCAATGTGGGCAATCATTAAGAATGAACTAGTATTTAATTCACAATAAAATTATGAATAAAAATGGATAGTTATAAGAATAAGCATATTAAATATAATTTACCTATTCAATTCAAGATGTTATAAAGAAGTGTATATATTTAAATAGAAAGAAAAGTAAAAAGAGAAAGTCATAAAGTAATGTTAAATTATTCACTTTTTTTGTACAGATACATTGAGTTTAAGACAATAGTTTGCAGTTTGTTTTTTTTTAATACCGTAAATTATATTAATGTACTGTTTATCTGTTTGTTAACTACTCAATTTGTTTTAAGTAGGATTTATTACACTATAATTATCAATGAAATATTTGCATATAACACCTCTAAACAATTTAAGATCATTATTTCTAAGATTTCGATTTCTACTTAAGAGTTTTTTCTCATATACATTTTTCTATAAATTGAACTTGGGTATTTTGATTATTGGAAGTAATTATTATTTTGATTATTGGTTACATGTATATATCTTTTGTCTAAACTATATTTCATCTATAACGGTGTGCTTCCGAATAGATTTTAGTCATGGTTCCAATGAAGAAAAAAAGAAAAGAAAGTGCACCTTATTCTATATTGTGTTATTATTCTCTAGTTCTTCGTCAAAACTTCGCATCTTTTTCCGTTCTTGATTAATTTATTTATCTTAGGGTATTGTTTGTTTATTCATTGAATCATTCATTTACAATCTTCTTTGACTATGAAGATAATAAAAAAAATATGTAAAACTCATCTTTTCGATAAGTTGTTCTTTTTTTACAAAAAAAAAAACATTTTCAACTTATCTAAATCTTTCTGTTTAATCCATAAGTTTAAGAATAAAAAAAGTGCGCGTTGCATTCTGTTTCCACACTCCATGTGTGTGTGTGCGTTTAAGATTGCTTCCGTATAAATTTCTTCATGCATGGAAATATGTTTACTGAACATTTAATTCTTTAAAAGTATACATCAAATTTCGCGCCTTTATTTTTTTCTTTACTGTTTTGTGACGAGCACATATAAAATTGGTCTCTTTTCTTTCTGTATTTTTGTTAAAAAAAAAAACACTATTGTGTGTATGTCTAGGTTTCTACCGATCGATGTGAACGTATACATTATTGGCTTTTTTGGCTCATAGCCAAGTTGACTGTCTATAAATTCAAAGATATTTCTCATATTAATCGCTCTCTTTTTGTCTATATCTGTTGTTATTCTATCAACTCATACATACACGTGTATGTGTATGCATGCACTTTAAAACGCGGATAGAGATGCTGGTACGGATATCGTATACTGTAACGTACAAAAATGCAAACTGATATCATGTGATAACATCTTTTCACGTTAATGTAGTACATGATTCCTCTGGTTATTGTTTAAACTTTTACACTTATGAGTTGAGTACATATGCATTATACTTAGTTTACTTGTCCATATAATGAATTTGTTTTCCAATTCATTTTGAGACATTTACTAAGATTTTATTTATGTGGTTGACGTAATCTTTTGGTTCATCTTCAGAATCACTAATCCTTCAATTTATATTAATAATGGCAGGTGGACTTTATCTGTACTTGGTTAATGAATGATATTAGCATTGTTTTAAAAGTGGAGTTATGTATCCATACATGTCAATATAATTAGCAAACTTGTAATTCATAATTGGTGTTGGACTATTTAATTATCATACTGTAATTTACTTCTTAAGGGGACAAAGCTAAAGAATTACACTTCGTTCAATAGCTGTTTCTTTTCAGTTTTAAAGTAATTCAACTGTAAGCATTCACGTTGGTCATATCTGACTGGATCAAGACTCAGGTTTTCCAAATCTTGCAGCGAACAGGATAACTTTGAAGCACTCTCGATAGTTTATACTTTTTTGGCATAAGGTGAATTCATAATAGACTGGGAAACGCCTAAAAAATATAAATGATACGTGAAACAGATTGATATTCTTGAGATTGATCCAGTGATTGGCATTTTTTATGTAAGACGGTAGTTTAGTGGTCAAAAATGCCGACCCTCCAATAACTGACTACGTCCGAATTCTGCAACTAGGTGGTAGTATTTGGGGCTCGTTAGGTGTATGCACCTTTTGTATCTCAGTATTGATGTCCACTCTTAGATTCGAAATTAATACTTTTCGCTTCGAACACTCAACACATTACTTACTGAGCTACTGATTCCAGATAGCTGCTAGTTTGTATAACGGCTAAAAATCATAGTTTTTCCTTGTTTAGTTCTAAGAACTCCAATTAATCAGTCTCTTATGATTGTCTTCGAAACCAAAAAAAACATTACAAGTAATATGGTTAATTGTTGTTTGAAGAAAAGCGAATCTGGATTTTCATTACTCTTGTTTTTCTCCCTTTTTTATACAGCAAATCAATATGGACAGTCCGATATAAATCGATTAATTGAAGAAAAGGCTTCAACTGAATCACAAGTGAATTTTCTCAATTCTATCATTGTTGATCTACATGCTAAAAATGCTGAACTAGAATCTCGTGTACGAGCAATGCTTGTCGGAACAGATGAACAATTAGAGTAAGTTAATATTTTTAGTTAAATAATCTGAAAGCAACATGTTGTATTAAATGGTCATCTCGAAATATCTTCTGAAAATCTATAAACTCTTAGCTTTGAAGTCCTGTAGATATATTTACTTATTATGTTGATGATAAACATAATTATTATGTGAATATTCTTCCAACTCACACATATTTCAAATAATTACATGTGGTGTAATCAAAGCAAAGCAATTTTGAATCAAGTCGTCCATTTTCACTATGAATCTCATCTTCACCTACACTTAATGATATATATTGAGCTACACGTTAAATGCCACTCACATTTTGTCACCTTCAATAAATGTGACATTGAAATGTTTATATTTGTCTGTCATTCATTGATATTTTCATTGGATTAGTTCGTTTTACAATTTATTCGTATGTTAGTGTATAAAAGTTATTTATTCTTCTGAAGAAAGATCTTCCAAGAGGTTGCTAAATAATAGAAATTCATATTTTCTTCTATATCTTTACAAATCCACAGTTATGCTTTATTAGTTAGTTCATAGTATGTTCAACCGCTTAACTTCAGCATTCTTACCACCTATATTATTTTTGCTTTCATTGTTGACAAAAAGATGGTAAATATCTTTGTAAGCCCTGTGTACTCTAATGTTTACTACACACACATACCTTCTTTTGTATTTCGTACTAACCAGGCATAGGATTAAAATGTGGTATGTCTGTAGGACGTGTTGTTTGGTTGATATCTTGTTACATTTGTACATCACTTCTAATGATACTGGCCCCCAAATCCCCTGGTACGGCCTAGAGTGGGTAGAGTCTGCTCTCCCTCTCGAAATGATCTAACATGGCCACGTGTATATACCCTCTGCCAGGGAAGTCCTACTCACTGCCTTCTCGTGGCATTACTGTTGTTTACGAAACTGAGAGGACGAAAAGCGAATGTTTGGCGCTTTAACCGGATCCCAAACCAATGGTGCACATGGGCTCCAGTATCCCGAGGAAAAAAAGGCGTATGAACCAATCGTTGGTCACCGGCTTCCATGGGACTGAATCTCCTTACAACGCTCCACTGCCTTGTGGATCAGACCTTTAGGTCGAAGGCTTGGGGTGTGGCCCCCTAAGTAAACTACCTGCCTCAGTTTGGGCACCCAGGCAGTATCACAGCACTCACACAAGTCAACTGAGATTGGTGTGGCGCATATGTATTTGGTGCCTCCGTGTACCAATATCTATGTGTTAAAATAAATAAAAATAATAAAGTTATCACACTATGAGATCAAATATTTTTTTAACAACTTCATGCATGCACACGGAATATCACTGGGAAGAAAACCTAATTTTGTTGTTAGATCGGACTACCGAAAGAAACAATGTTATTCTCAGTCAACTTTTAATCAATCTATTCGGTCCCATTTTCATTATATACATGTTTTTTTAATGTGGATATTTAATTTTCTGATATATAATTCAGATTATTACTCTTGTAAGCTTACGTACCTAGAGGAGTTTTCTTGTTCAAAGACAAATATGTGGATAAATTTTAATTGTAGAGAATCATGGAGACTAGTTGAATTTGTGGTTTGTGTTCGTCATAAATTAATCCCAGTACCAAATACTCTATGATTTTCAATAATACTTCAACTGAGATATCAATCCATGATCATTACAACTTATGTACAAATATTACACATAATTCAGAATGTTCTAGTTTTTAACTATTAAAATAAAATTGTCTTTTCAATTCACTTATCTAATCATTATTGTTTTGCTACTCTATTTTCAGGTTACTTTCTAATAAACATATCAAATCACGTAATCCACCACCTACACGTCTATGGTGTGATAATTGTCTTGTATTTGATAGTCATGATACAAAAGACTGTTCACAGACAAATGGAAATAATCACTCACATCAACATCATACCACTAATGGTATGATTAAAAACTCGATAATCCATGATGAAATCCCTAGAAAGTCATCTTTAAAAAATTTCCATAAAATTTCTAAACAGAATTCATCTGCAACAACAATAAATCGTTTATACTGTGACAATTGTGGTATATTTGATGATCATATAACTGAAAATTGTACAGATACACAAACATTTTAAAAATTAATAGAATAACATTATGATTATATGTTAAATGAAATGTAAATCTCCTTGTACCCATATGTTTATTGCTGCCGACCTTTTCTTGTTCTCCAGTCTTCTGTTTTTACCAAACTCTCATTTATTCCTGTTAATCTTCCTGTCTTGTTTTCTTAGACACATTTTGCTTATCTTTTTTTGTTGGGGATGGGGCTGATTTAGTAAATAATTTATTTCACTTGATTATATTTATAACGCAAGATGCTAAAAATCCGACTATTGTTGGTCAATTGAAAAGAGAGAAAGTGGGGAAGTGCCTTATCCTGTCGTAATGATTTACTAAGCGAAAACTAATATTACTATTATCATTGTTCTCTTCTATTATTATTATTATATGAGTGTGGAAAATGTTCGCTTTTTAATTCTTTCATGCATACCATACTAATGCATATGTAAGTGTTTCAAACGGACACGCATAGCCATATTTAGCTAGAAAAAAAGCATCTACACACACAACCATTGATGAATATTCCAATGTTTTTTAGCAATGAAGATGAAAATTTTGATTTTATTTAATAAATGGTTGTTTGTACCGCCACCATTATTTATTATTATTATCATGAAATAAATAAATATGGAGAAATCCTTATTTTCATGTAAAAAAAATTTGTTTTACTCTTTTAACGTCTACCTTTTATTATTATGTATCAACAGGAATTTCGGACAAAAAAAGTGGTAAAGTAGATTATCTACTCTATATTTATCTATATGTATAAAACATGGATTTTATAAGTGGTAGACATACGTAGATTGCTGATTTCTAATCATAGATATCTTCTGAACATTTCTCGCATATCATGAGACGACTGAATGAATAGTGTTGGAACTAGGTTTAGGGTACTAGACAAAGATGACAGATCAATTAATTAAGTTATAAATCTTCATTGATTGGAGTCAGTCATCAACGTATATGTTGCTTGTCACAAGTCGACATACCACATTAATACAACGAAATAAAATCAACAAAATAAATAAAAATACCGGAGTTATTTTATTGATCTCAAAATAACTTTCATATTAAAAATTACACTTGACTTGCAATATTTCAAAATGATAATATGATTAGTGCAACCACTTTTCTTACTGTTCATTCGCAACAATCTAATTACACTTTTTTAATAATTCAAAATTAAAAATTTAACTAAATAATATAAAATCCAGAATTTAAGAATTTATGCCACTAAGTCTTTCCTTTTTAAATATTTTTATGATCTCATTAGTTAAGATCATAAGTCAGTTGAAACTAGACCACCATGGAAAACCTGGAAGCACTGGGCGGCCATTTTGTCCTGTTGTGGGACTCCTAAACTGTGCCCATCCACGACACCGCCTCGCGAAATTCGAACCCAGAACCTATCAGTCTTGCGCTCGAGCGCTTAACCACTAGACCACTTAGCCAGTATCCAATGTTGTTAATGTCTAACTTCAACTAATCCACGAAATTGAGCGACACATCAACCATTGTCATCAGTGAGTTACTGTCTCACAACACACACGGTTGAACTCCACTGGTCACTGCTTCTCAGTAGAACTCCAGGATATACATATTGAAGCCAATCACTAGTGAGTGTATGTTGATTAGTATCAGAAGGGGGTTTTTTATTTACAAAACGCCATTTTTCTATCTAAATATATAGCAATGATTCATTCAATCAAATAGAGCAAAAGTAAAGAAAACAGACATTTATGACAAAAAGTAATCTAATGTCAAAAACTAACGATAAAAAATCACTTGAACTAAATGAATGAAATCACTGTATGTTTATTTCTACCCAACAAAAAGGATAATTATCTTATTAGAAGTCTATAATCAACTGATTAAGATGTGTTACATATATTTTCAATCATTTGAAATGATAACTATATTCAGGATGTAAATAGAACTTATTTTCATATGTATTACCTATTGTAATGAGAATGAATAAACAGTTTTAATAAAAGATATATGATATATAAACAAATCAAGTTATAATAGAGAAATAAACACAAGAAAGTCAAAAGGTATCAAACCTTTGAATATACATTTTTTCCACTTGTAATTTCATTACTGATCAATGGTTTCATAAGTTTTTAATCAATGAATATCCCTAAATATGTCAAATTATTTTGTTGATTAGAGTTAATTGAAACAAAAGAGTAGTAAGGTATTGTAAATAGTATAAATGGCACAACGACTATATAATAGACAGATAAAAGTTAGAAAAAAAACAACTTAATAATCAAATATACATGTATCTCACAATCGTTATAACATCTGAACGTTATTCCTCTAACAGATTATTTCTTAATACATAGTAAACTTTTGTTTGAATGTGATTTTTAGTAATTCAAAGCAATTTCTTTGTTGGAAGGGCCAGAAACACGATTGAGTGATCCATGCTAGATTTGTTTTGTATATGTATGCATTGGATCTGAAGCCAAGGCTGCCTACCATTTGTTTCCAACCATCGAATACAAGTTATGGTAAAACTCGATACTGATTTACATAGCTTATTTTATATATCACTGAGGACTTGACATCATTTAATAAGTATTTAAAACATAGAAAATATCAAATTATGTTTGTCGATGATAAAGAATGTATGTGTAAGCTTTTATCATGAAATAAGAAAGATTCGTTCAGTGAAGAGTTCTCTTTTCAGTGAATTCATTTTCAAAGTTGTACAATCGCAAATATGTATAATTACTTTTCAGGATGATAGTAATTAGAATAATATTAATAATAAACTTCTGTTAAACATGGTAACAATGAGGTAGAATAAACGAGCTTCACTTTTACCACGTTTAACAGAAGTTTATTAATATTATTGCAATTATTATCATCCTGAAAAACAATTATACATATTTGCGATTGTACAGCTCTGAAAATGAATTCACCGAAAAGAGAACTCTTCACTGAACGAAGCTTCCTTATTTTATGTCTCAATAGGTATATTCCGTTTACTTAAGTTCTTACTGTTGTTACATCAATGTCTTCTAAATAAGGTCGAAATAATGTATTATATTTGTTTCACTATTGGGATCATAAATGTGTCCGTACTGTCTTATTAGGTTCACTGCAGGAAATCAATTTTTTACAACTTGACTAGTTGAATTAAATACACGTAATGATTCAAAAGAAATTTTATCAGTTGCTTTCATCACATTTTACAAAGCATAGATTTAATTTCTGGGCAAGCTCCCTTATCATCTAACATTTTAATACCTGTTACCAAAGGCGTTGATAATGAAAAATATCTTGTATTCCATGTTTTATTGCATACATAGCTCTTGTGAATTAATTTGATTTGGATACTATAAGGATTTGAAAATCGATTGTCGAATAATCACTTCGTATTGCTTCTGATAATAATCCGTTGTGAGATCAAGTTTAGCTGTCTTACAAGTATTGAAATAACTTTTTTCCAGCCACAAATATCGGTGCACATAAATTTTGCATAAAATTATCGACATTAAAGTGTTGTCATTTATTGAATAAGTTTAGTTAATTCTTATTTAAATTAAAAATAGTTTACACTATAAATAAACTCTAGATGGTCAATCATTAAAAAAGTACTAAACAGTTATTTCGATTGAATCATTCATATTTTTCAAGTGGTTACACATATCACTCTAAAAATACCTTACAGGATGTAATTCCTTTTATAATGTAAATCCACATGAACACAAATAATCGTTTTGATTTTCAGCCGATAAATCTAATTGCCTCCAGACTGAATGAATTTCGACACATAAATTAAATTATTAGGATATAGTTTTTGTCTAAAATAATGATATACATATAAGTTGTCATCTACTAGCTTGTTCCATGCTTTTACATCAAATCGTATAAGTATGTATTTGGTTTTTCAGAATGAAAGAATTGTATTATGTTCAGTACACTGGGAAATTTGGTCACAAATATATAAGTAACAGTATTAGATAATAAATATTTGGCTATCCTTTTAAACTATAAGTAATAAACCCATCTAACACAATATTAGTTTTGTATGAATATAATGAAAACTAAATTCGTGTATAACTTAATTATTATTTATATCGTCTAGTTTTTGTTGATCTTCAGAAAATAATTTGTATGAAACTAAGTTCTACAAGAATTTAATTCTAACTAACTACTTTCTTAATGTGGCGAGACTATAATTTATGGACGAACCAATCAGGTATGGGATAATGGATCTCGGATTTTGGCGCGAAATTCACTCATCCATTTGGTTAAATAAAGTTTTTTCATTATAGTCAAAATCAGTTCGTGATGAAAATTCTAAATTTAATTCCTAAGCTTAACCATTAACTGTAAATCATAATTCTAATTCCTCACACTGGTTTATAACCCCCATTTGCTTCTAGTTATTAGGTGGACACTCTCAATGTCAGTTTAGAGTCATTCAAAGATCGTTCATAAATTTTAGTCTCACCTTTTAGTGTTTTTTCTATGTCAAAGTGGCAAATGCTTCTGTTAATTTTGAACAAATTATCCGTATGTTTCTAATAAACATAACCGTCATTGTAAATGTACCATTTTTTAAAAATTAAAATTGCTCATACTCCTTTTATTCAAAAATTTCATGTCAACTATTTAGCGATTAGTTGACAACTAACTTACTTTTTTTTTCTTCTTCTCTATTATTGCTCAAATTAATAGTTTCTCTCGCTCATAAGCAAACAATGCAGTTTTCACAATCTTCACAATAAATACTAATCATTATTATCTACTTTTTTTCTATAAACAGCATTTCTTTTACTGTGTTTAATCTTTTCACTATTAATTACATTGTTATATCATTGTGTAAATAGGATATTTTATGACTGGTGTAATAAGGTTGATTGATTTTATTTAAATAAGGTCATGAAATATTGTCTTTATCGATTTACATTTCTTTTTTTTCATTGTTTATCTTGTCTGTTTTAAGTTATGCTATTGTAGAAAACAATCAACTTCAGACTTAACTTATACGACGAGTGATGTATATATATATATATATATATATATATATATATATATATATATTCAATGAAACCTTTCATTTTCTTCGGAGATTTATATTTCTGTATCACAGATTATTCATTTCATATTCATTTTGTTTAATCTGTTAAAAAAATGATACATTGAACTGAATAACTACTTAATGATTGTTAACATAATCAACAGTATTATTATTACTTTTTAATCGCTTATGGCAAGACTATTAGATAAATACAGGTAGATGACTAATTTAATTTATTTGAATATCATATATCTAGATTATTAACAGAAGTTTTAGTGTTCACCATTATAACTTGATCATTCCATCAGAAAAAAATAAATATGTATATATATCTTATTTATTAAGTACCCTAAAGGATATAAAATATTAAAGTGTGTTTAGCATATAATGTCTACGAATAACAATTAAATCAAATAGAATCTTTCAACTTGAATCGTTAATTTTCAGTTATGAAACCTAATTACTATGTTTTCATTTTATTTTTCATTAGTTTTATTCTGATATCCAACCCATTTAACAGTTATATATTCATAGAGTTGTTTTCTTGTTATAGTTTTTTTATACAGGAACTGGTTATTTCATAAGTAGTTAAAATGAACCTTGGATTTAGAAAATAATGATTAAAAAGGACATTTTA